CAAGTTGGAGCAGCTGCACAGCATGCAGGAGCAGCAGAGGTGCGTGTCACATTTAATGAATCACCCCCCACTATATCCTCCTTTGGAATCTCTCTGACTAAATCTGAAATGGTTATACATATTAATGTGGATTTTATACAAACTATTATCTGGGGTAATGGATCTGTCTCAGAAAGCAATTAGCACATGAATATGATAATGGCATGACTAACCATGCTCTTATGAATGCCTCCGTTCAAATCCTTTTGCTTCCTGATTCAGTTCATTGTGTCTCTTCTAACAGGAGTATAAACATCCCAAACCCAGGGAACCAGACAGAGATGAACAAGAGCCCTCCTAACAGCAGCAACCAGGTGAAAGGGTGTTTCTATGACAACATGAGATTATCTTTAAAGTACTGTGTGAACACCATTTTTTTTACAATGAAGTTCTTGTTTTATACCTTTCTGTGGTGCAAAAATTCACTTTAAATGTGTCTTTTTTTCAGATTGATGATATCTTTGGCTCCTCAGGGGTTAATGGGAAAGAGAATGGACCTGCAGCAGCCGCCCCACAGCCTAATAGAGTATGAAAACAATGTCATACCTAATATCCAGAAATGTCCACCTTTAGGTACCAGTCTAATTTCTCCATGGTCTCTCTTGTTTTGCGCCCCCCATAGATGTCTCTGACTCTGGAGGAGAAGCAGCGATTGGCTAAGGAGCAGGAGCAGGCCGCCAAGCTGAGGAACCAGCAGCCTTTAGCGCCTCAGAGCATCAAAGCAGCCAACACTTCCAACACCAAGGTAACGCCTCAAAAAATCTGTGAACAGAAAACTAACTACGGAGAGGCAACTGAGGGAAAGACAAATGTGGAAATCCATTTTTCTAAGACTGATCTAAATGGTTTTCCCTTCTCTAATTATGACTTGAGTACAGGTGAGAAAAGGTTTGCCTACATGATATTTCTAAAGCCCTTAATTCAATTGGTATGGGAAACATTTTTCATTTTTCTAGTTGATAAGTGTTTGCTACTACACCATGTCATAAATAGGACTGAAATCTCTCATGGTTTATTTCCAGGTGATTTCTCCATGCCGGGCTTAGTGTTAACAAAATATATGTACAAAATCATGCAGGCGAAACTCTTCTTTCTTCATCCGTTCCTAAGCCACAAACATAATGAAATCTGACTCAAAAACAATATATCACCAACATTTGTCATACTCTGTTGCCTCTCAGGGTCTCCTTATAAAACACTTGATGAGTTTAAACCCGCATCTTGTTTTTCTTGCAGACTAAAGATCTGACCAGCAGCCTGCTCAACAACATGACCTCGCTAAACAGCCTCTCATTGGCCAACACAGCTCGCCCCTCCCCAGTGCAGGGCTCCACCATCGCTGCCTTCCCCTCCCCCGGCCCCATGGTGGGCTCCATGGGCGCCCCGGTCTCCAACGGCTTCAACCCGTCCATGGGCTTCCAGGCAGGGGGCATGGGGATGGGCATGCGTCCTGCGGGCCCCGGCCTCTACAGCGGCATGGCAACCACCACCAGCACCCCCAACTTCGGAGCTCTGACGCAGAGTCAAGGACCCATCGGGCAGACCAATAAAGATCTGTCAGCGTTGGACAGTCTTTTTAAACCCAGCCAGCCCAAAGTCACCCTCAACCAAATGGCCCCGCCCAGCACCAACGCCCCGTGGCTCAATCAGTTTGGTTCGGCCCAGAACGCTCAGACTCAGATGCACGCTGCTCCTGTTGCTATGGGAGGGGTGCCCAGCAGCTTCGGGATGCAAGCAAACCCTTTTTTCAGCCCGCAGAACTTTGCTCCACCCTCTGCTGCTGCCCCCAGCCCCCTGAACCAAAGTGGAATTAAACATAGCGCATCTGTCAACAACGATCTGAAAGACTTGTTCGGCTAGATTGCCAGATTAAACATATTATTTTAGTAATTTTGGATAAAAGAACCTTGAACAAGACACTGATTGAATGTGAAGATTTCAAATCCGATCAAGGGTGTTGCTGTGTGTATTTTTAAACATGATCTAGTATAAATTCTGCTCACATTCAGCTGGCAAATTAACCTGCGCCTGATTCAATTTCTACTTGACCACAAGGACAAAAGGCTGGGGTGGGTACTAATTCTTCTAAGCTGTGTTTCTTTACATGCTGCGGTTTCCTACTGATTTTCTACTTGACATTCTCGGGCGTCCCAACGTCGTGAGTTGAGATGAATCCCAACTCAGTTAATTCAGGAGAGTTTTGTGTTCATATCACGAGTGGCTGAATCACCCCTCAAAATTGGCAGAAAAAGAAGGAAAAAAGTGGCTTCACATCTGCTCAGTTTCAGGCTGCTGTATCTTTATTGCTTCTCTGGACTATTTTAGGATTGGCTGCATGTCTAAAGGGATCAGAGAGTTGGCTTAAAAAAAAATGTCAGAGTAGCACTGATCTGCATCCAGGAAGATCCTCCAGAGTCAATCTGAAAGGAGGAAAATGGAAAGCCCAACAGTCGCAGTTTAGATGGGAGAGGTAGCCCCACTGCAGTCCGTCTCCATGGTAACTGTGTCTCTGCAGCACCTCCGAGTGAACTGTTGATCCAGTTTTCTCTTCTTTTTTTTTTTACCCTTTTGTCTTATTCTTTCAACATCAGGTTCAAAAGCTGCAAAACATGCTCTTATTTGCTTGTTTCGACTTCCAAGCAAGCATGTTGAAAAGGGAAGGGTTACTGTTCTCTGGTTGGTGACGAACCTTTCACCTCCTCTGGTAACTAAAACATCTGTAAATGCAGTATGGACGATTTATGTGTCTTATAGTGGAATGGGATGTGTGGAGTAGCTATTACAGCAGCGTCCTTTAAAAAGATGCTAATGCTAAAGGCAAACGTGAAGGACCACATGCACTGCTTAGGCTGTTGTGCCTTACATGGGTACATGTGTAGGATTAGACAGACAGCACTCATCTGTTACTCAAGTATTAATAATTTCACTTTTTAATCCGCTGCTTCTCAAATTACTTGCTTTGTCGCATGTTACTGAACTTGACCACAAAAGATCTAAAGCTTATTTTCCGGTAAAGATTCCAGTGAAAAACTATTCGGAAGTTTATAAGCGTCTCCAAATCCTCCTTCCTGTTGACCAGTTTATACAATGATGAAGATGATCGCTATATATTTTCAGCACTTTTCAGCTGTCTGAGGACCAGTGCTGGTTATGAAGAAGTGTATATATGATATAGTTATTTAAAGATGGGTTGCTCTGTGAGGGCCTTGGCATTTTTACATCCCTGTGATAATGGTTGAGAGGCCTTAGATGAGTTGGTGCAATAATCCTTGTTGGTTGTTAAGCGTGAACATGGAATGGCTCCTTACATTAATCTACACCCGACAGAAAGAAAACTACATAGGATTGTCAGATTTCAAAAAATGTGTACTCATTCTAAATCTTACATTTTGGAAGATAACTACACCACCTTAGGGTTTTTAGATGAACCTCGGTCACAGTGTGTTCACAGTGATTGTTAATATGCTGTTTGTTACTGGATTCAATTTTTGTTTCTGTGTATTAATGCCTCTTTAACAAGGTGAGCTCCTTCAATCCGCATGGCAGTGTGATTTTGACTCTACATTCCCCAATCTGTGTCATACAAGACTACAAATGTTTCAGTGATTTGGCGTAAATTGTGTGGTGGTTTTGATTTCATCTCAAGTGGATGTGATCTGTGAAGTGTGCGTCACATATCCTAGCAGAACCCCAAATGAGATTGTTTGTATACCACTGCTGTCGATATGTGTGTAGTGTTGCCCTTGTATTACGTGTTGAGGTGCTGGTCTCTGAGGTGGTTCACTGAACATCTGTACATATAAAGGAAAGTACACAATCAAACCTCTCAAAGGCTGCTGGTTATTTGTGTGATGGCTTGAATCACTGCATCAGACCGTGGAGTTTAAATCACTTTAATGTAGAAATGAAGTGCAGAAATGGCAGTATTTTTGAAATGTTTATGCACATTAGCAGACAGCTTTAAATATACATCTCAGTCAACTTTTTGGTTCAAGGTAAAAAAGGTAAACAATATATATATATTAATTTTATTTTTTAAAGAACCCTGATTAAAAGACAGCATTCATGAATCATAAACATGTTAGGATGCTTTCATTAATAGTAGGCTACTTCCCTGATTCAGTATGTCTGTGCTATAATATTGCCGGACAGATTTAAACAAAAATAAATCCTAGTTGATGCAGCAGAACACAAGGTATTTCTTTTTTATTTCACGCACTTGTGATTAAATTACCCACAATGCAACTTGGCGGTTGACATTCTGGTCAAAGGTTTGGCAGTGTTATGCTACTTGCTGCTATTGTAGCCTCAAGCTGAAGCCTCAAACAAAGATAAGTTCTCCACACCCCAAGATGTTTTAAATTGTCTTTAGTGCCAACCGACTCTATTTTTTTTATTTAAGTTTTTTGACATCGCTCGAGTCAATTTTGATCAGATTTAACTTATATTTGGTGTCCTAATAGCTTTATACAACATTATCCCCACATAAGCAAGAGTGCTCCCCAATACCTGTAAACAGACAGAGCAATGTCATATCAGTGGAGTTCCCCTTTTATCTGAACGCAACCTGATTAAAACCCCAAAAACGTATCTTTATGATGTTTTAAAGTAACCTAACCAAAGCTTCTAAATCTAATCATAGAAAGCAATGCCACTATAAGGCACTAGAGGGGATACGTTCAAGTGGACCTATCATGTTATATTTGAATAATATGTTGTAGGGCCATACCTATATAAAACATGTCTGTGAAGTTTTTTTTTCAAAATACCAAACAGACATGCATTTTAGCCATGCCTCATTTAGCTCTATTTGCTGTATTCCAGCCCTGTTTTTGCAAGGGCTGATTCTGTGGTAAATGAGCTGCAGCTGACCTCGCTCCCCTGCAAAGGAGGGGGGCGAGGCACGAGCGTCATGTTACCATGCTGTTATGCCACGCAACCTCTCATTCCCCTGATAGGTGGAGTTTCCCATATAGGCGGAGCTCCTTGTTTCTGACGTCAGAGATATTTCAAATCTGGATCAGTCTGTATCAGATCCGTTACAGCCCCGTTTTTAGAGATTTGGGTATGGAGGAAAAGAGAGAGGGTTGTGTTTTCTGACACTTGGTGAGTTCCCTGACACACCGGGGACACATATTCATGTATAAAAGACGTACAAAAGTGCATTTTGCATGATAGGTCCCCTTTAAATTAGTCAATATGAAAAATCCCTGACAACTTCATGTTTAAAGTAATCCTATTGTGTCATTCAATAAGCAAAATGAAAGACAGTTTGTGAAAATCAATGCAGAATAATTCTATTGAGAGACAACCTGAGGCAGGAAGTGAGGTCAGTGTGAGGATCAACATTAAGACAACTTCTACATCTGTTGACGTCCCACAGTCACTGGCTGAGTCTCCTCACTGATCGGGTGGTGGTTGTAGACATGTTCTTCTGAGTCATGGCTGCGAAAAGAAAACAATGCACATTTAGACTCCTGATAAACAGAATGATTCATTACTGTGAAATTACCACCTTATTTTGAAAGGGGGACATTACAAAACAGAACTTTAGCACACCTGAGAAGTTTAGCTCATAGCTAAACCTGTTGGCGGTAAACTTCATGGAGCCTGACGGGGTCTGTTGGTGCTGCCGCTCAATGTCCTGACTGGAAATGCTGCTTTTGGAATTTAAATAATCTTTCCACATTCCACCGATATCCTGAAACTGCCATCGTGGTGAAGTGCCCAAACTGCAGAATAGAATAATAGAAGTGGAACATATTCACAGGAGCATACACTGTTCACATATTACTGCCACATTAAATGAGCTGGTGTTGCCAGGCAGATTTGGCACATAAGAGACAGAGACATGAGTCTAGCAGAAAATGCATTTACAAATGAGAAGGGAATAAGGAACATTTCACTTCTTAATAATGTTTTTTCATTTTAAGGTGTAATTGGGTTTCAGTGTTTGTCTTTTGACCCCTTTCTACTTAATAACACAAACCAAATGAATTATTAGGAAGATGAAGTATAGTATTAATTAAGAGGCACCCCTGAAATTGCAATATACTTTATAGTATAGTATCTTTTCAAATGAGGGGACTTTGGTTAATTCAAATAAGAAGTATGGTATGTGTTTAAACTAAGGTTATTAATGATTATTATGGTGGTGGTTTAAGGGTGAAATGTATCTCCTGACCTGCTGTCCTGTTGACTCCCAGAGTCAGCAGTCCTCCTCACTGCTCTCCTGGTCCCGATAGTGTCATTGACTTGACTCATGCCTACGACAGACAAGCGTACAGGGTTTTAATGGCAATTCAAACTGCTCTCCTCTACTAAAGCAAAACGATTGATTGTTTTGTTTAGCAGGAGTGGCTGTGTAGCTGTATGTGTGTTCCTTACTAGAGAAGTCGAGCGTGTATGAAAATCCTCTGATCTTGAAGGGATGTTGGCCCTGAGGATTCAGCTGGTATTGTCTCTCAAGGGCAGCGCTATCAAATGAACATACCTACACACAAATAGAAAACATAGGTCCATTTAATAGAGGGAAGCATTTGTAATTTGACCACCAGATGCCGCTGTAACTGTTACATTATTCACCAGACAAGTTAAAGGTCCCATGACATGGCCATTTCTACTGATCATAATTCCATTGTTGAGGTCTACTAGAATAGATTTACACTGTGCAATTTTCCAAACTCACATTGGTTTCTCAAACAGCATCTCTGTATAGTATGTGTATTCACTCTCTGTCCTAAACGGCTTGTTGGAGCTCCTGCCCCCCCCCCCCCCCCCTCCCTGTGAGCCCAGTGTACTCTGATTGGTCAGCTCGCCCACTCTGTTCTGATGAGTCCACCACCGTTACAGCGGAACATCAGTGATTATGTGTTACAATGGCGTTAGCAACCAGAAAATGACACCAGTAATGACAACCAGATGAGAATGCTGTCTGGGTGCCGTGTTGGCGGGACGTTGTGAGGCTCGCTACTGCGAGGAGCGGACAGTGTGAGCTGGCTTACTGGTGTGGTTTCCTGGTTGCTGCGTGGGGTCGGCGAGACAGCGAGACACAGCGAAACCCAGCCCGAAACCAGCCCGAGCACACACACACACCCGCAGCCTGGCTGTGAGTCTTTGTGTATCTCACTGCCTCGCCGCGTCCCGCCGTCTCAGGCTGAGAAATGGACCAATCCGCGGACTTAACGTAACGGCTCCGCGGACGTAACGTAACGGCTACGCGGATTGGTCCATTTGGGTATGGTTACGTCACCATACCCAAAATGGAAATGGAAAATGAAAAATCTCCAACGAGGCATTCTGGGGCAGCATAGACAGGTATTTTCTGTGTTAGAGTTTTACTCGCTACAGGGTGTACTTTGAGGGTTTGTGACTTTGCAGACCGTTTATATGCAGAAAAAGCTACATAACACACAAGGGGACGGGTAATAACCGGAAAAGCATGACATGGGACCTTTAAATATATTCAACTAATCATAACTAAGAAAGTTAGTGTTTCGGGCTGAAAGTAAAAAATGGTTTAGAAGCCTTACTTACATTTGCTTTGTATTCAGTCCATATACCCTCGTCTCCCATGAACTCCCACCTGTAGCCTCCACCTGTGAGCTTGGAGGAGGAAGCTGAAGTGGAGGAACGGCTGCAGAGAAAAACACATTTTATTCAGGGTTTAACTACTGAAATTGCCTTTCTAGTCATATTTAGTGTATATTTAAACATGTAAACAAGTCAAATATAAGTTTATGATTCCTACAGATAAAGTCTCACCTCTCTGCGTTGAAAGTGAATTTTGGACGCCTTCGTAGATTTCTGCGCAGGCCTGTGACGCAGTTTGTTTGTGTCATGACTGCCGAATAAAATCGGTTGGATCAATAAAGACAAATATATTGAATTTATTGAGCTCAAAAGATAAAAAAATATCCCATACTTGAGAAGTCGAGTGAGTAGCTTGAGGAGCACACTGTGAAGTTGAAAGATCCTCGAGGGTTAAGAGTGAACTGACGCTCCACATCTCCACTGCTGATGGACGAGGACTGCATGTTGGAGCTCTTGGGGAGGAAAGCGTGTTACTAAAAACTGTTTAGTAAACCTTTGAGGTACTTGGACTTTACTATGTTGCTACCTTATTTACGTCATAGTCAGGGCCACATTTGATTCAATGAGTTCCACTTATGTGATTATTTTCCTTTTTCAATGCATGTTCAAATAATTGAATATCTCACCAAAATGTAAGGACAGGAAAGAAAGTCCAAAACCTTAAAACAGATTTGCGTATGACTACATGTCGTTGTTTTGTTGTGTCCTTTTACTTAAGGCTTGCAATAGAGTATTTCTACATCGCTGCATTGTTACTTTAAAGGATCTGAATACTTCTTCCACAGCTAGAATAAATGTAATGGTAGTTGCCTGGGATTTCCCTCACCTGGGATCCAAATTCACGCCACAGCTGGTCATCTCTGAAGTACCAGCCTATGTCCTCCGTCTGGCCCTGAGGGAGGAAACTCAGTCTCTGCACCTTCAGATCTACATTCTGAGTCAGCAGCTCATCAAATTCTATGAACACCTTCCTGTGGAGACACATGGGATTACATTTGAGATATTTCTTGGATTGTAAAAAGATGTTATACGGCATGTTTTAACACCACATACTTCTGAGTAATCTATCATTTGTCACCATCCTCATGACCAATGTAGTTTTATTCCCTTAAGAATCTAACTACAATAAGAGAAATGTTTTTGGCATTTCTCTAAACAAGAACTTACTAACTTACCAGAGGACAGAGGAAAAACAAAGATTCCTACTTATTTTCATAATAAGAATAACAGTTATTGAACAAATTACAAGGAATTGGTTAAAAGACAATAACTTAATCAACTCACAATGGAAAAATCTAGTAGATTAAATTTAAGGAATGAAAAAAATAGCCATGAGAATCATGTCTTTGATGACCGATGGCAAACATGGGTGAGTTATAGAACACAAAACACATACAATGACCATTTCATGATTTTTTTTAATGTTTCCTGATTTCTGGATTGTTATGTAGTTATTTTATGTACGAGTTGTAATCAAATAATTTCTTAAAATGCAAATAAAATAAAAAAAGTATCTAAATACTGTATGACAGGCTGCAACAATTGTTCAAACGTATAATATATATAATAATTATGACTTAAAAAATGCTGAAAACTGTAAATCTCAGATGAGTAAAACACTAACATATGTTTGAAGTTGATGGTGATTCCTTTAGCTCCAGGTTGGCAGTAGTGGGTCTCGATCAAATGGTCATTGTCGATTGGCAGCCATAGATGTCCATTTGACAGCTGCCACTCATAATGTTTCCCATTGACTGTAAAACAACAACATATGGGATCTCATTATCTATCTGTTTTATTGATGACAAAGAGCTTTGACAACTCAGGTTAATGTTTGACACTAGTGTGCTAATAAAGTTAGTCGAAAGGTTAAAAAAGTACCCAAGTTATGTCTGACTTCATCGAAATATGTCATATTATTGTCATGTACTCTATCACTCTTTCATACTTTTTAATCATGTTATACTCCAATTTGAAGCATTTGTTTCTTGGAAACGTCGACAGTCCTGATAGGAAGCAGTTAGCTGAAAGGCTAAGATGCACACTTCAGGTACTAAGAAGTCATTCAGGAATTCTAAATATCATACAAACCTGCAGTCTCCTGCCAATGGTTCATCTCGTCAGCATTTTCCTGTGAGAAACAAACACAAATATGTTCATCTCACATCACAAAGAAACTTTTAGAGTCTAAGTGATTCCGTGACGAAGACTCACCATGATGTTACGAAATATTGTCCTAATAACATCAAGGCTGTTTCAAAAACGGAAATAAAAAGAAAAAAAAGGTACTGCAACGATATCCTTTATAGTTCCATTAAATCCACTTGAATATCTCTTACTCGGAAACTGATGTGATGGTTTACTTTTTAAAGAAGCTTTTCTTTCACTTTCGTTTCAGGGCAGGTTTATCACGCACAGATTGCACGTGAATTGCTCACGCAACAAAACCAGGAATGAACAACATGATCTTTTCAGTAAGGTCACACTCAGAAGTGGAGAAGTACTCAGATCGTGTATTTGAGTAAAAGTAGAAGTACCAGAGTTTAGGAATAGGGGAGAGTGGGGTAATATGGCAAGTATTGCCACCCCTGTTATCTTATCTAGAAAACCATAGAAGAAGTTGGTCATGTGACCACATCTTTTTGAAGAGGCATCCATTTCAATCATCCTGCAAAGAAGGGAGACACATGGCTTGAGAGGTTGATTGATTGATTGATTGATTGATTGATTGATTGATTGAAAAGTTTATTAACAGCTTGTATATTGGGTACAGTACAGTACAGCTCAAAACATACAATTGTTAAGGGGATGCAGACCAGAGAAAGACTTTCGTCTTGTTTACATCAGGGTCCCCCATTTCCAATTCAGGTAAGCACATTTAAGTTAAAAAAACCATTTTTTGCCCTCCAAAGTAACATTTCTATGATCAAGGTTTTTTGATTGCTGTGTTTGAACAATTTAGACAACTTTGAAAACAGTTCACACATGTTTTAGTGCTTTAGTAAGCTACACCATGAGTCTATACAGTTAGCATGATGCTAGGTCAAAACAGCTGGGGGATGTATTTTTTTCAAAATGGTGGGCTTGGGGTGATTTGTGCCAAAGGGCCTTATGATTATTTACTATATATTACTTTATTGTATTTTATTGTTATTGTACATTGTATTCTTACATTTGATCACTAAAACTATGTGACATTCTTAATTTTAGACCAAAATCCATCATGCCACGCAAATACAAAAGGAAGACAGACATGGTTTCAACTCCTCTTGAGGAGTTGGAAAGAGCAGTGAAAGAGGTGCAACAGGGGAAGACCATACGTCAGGTTGGAAAGGAGATGAAGATCTGCAGGATGACCATAAAAAGATATATGGATAAGAAAAAAATAGGAGAAGTAACAAAGCCAGGCTATGAAAGAACAGCAGTTGCCAAACGAGTCTTCAATGAGAACATGGAGAAAGAGCTGGCTGACCATATTAAGACACGAGCAGCAAGGTTTCATGGCATAGGTGTCATGAAATGCCGTGAACTGGCTTTTGAGAGAAGAAAAGGGCTCTGAAAGCTGCAAATCAAACCAAAACCAAGAAGAAAACAGCTGTGTACAGTAGCTCAGAAGAAAGCTCCACCACCAATGATGAGGCAGAAGATCGCCTGGAGAAGACACACAGCAGAGAAAAGGAACGGGCTGAAAAGAAGAAAAGGAGTGGAAATAAGAAGGGGGCTCTGAAAGGGTCAAAACCAACCAAGCCCAAAAAGAAAGTGCTCTCCAGTAGCTCAGAAGAGAGTGACTTTCCGATTCCACTTAGCGATGCCACTCATTATGAGAGTTCAGATGTCCAGAGTGATGATGATGATGGTGACAAGGATCTGTCTACTGGTGACTTTGTCATTGTGAAGTTTGCAGGTAAAAAATCCAAATCCTATAACTATGTTGGATTGGTGGAGAATGTTGAAGGTGACGAGATCAGTGCAAAGTTTCTGAAGCAAAGTTGTAAGAGGTCTGTTGATGGAAAGCCCATCTTCACATTTAGAGAGAATGATGAAGGAGTCATCCCTAGAGGTGATGTGCTCAAGAAACTACCCACACCACAAAAACTTGGTGGTACAGCCAGAAGGGAGTAGAAGTTCACATTCCCCTGCAGCATTGACAAGTGGGATGTTCAGTAGTAGGCCGAATCTGTGAAGAGATTCAGATGCAGATGATTTGCAGATGATTAGGTGCTCATTTTGGAATTTTAATTTTGTTCTGAGTATGTGTTCATGTGGCGCTAGGCCTTGTTTAAGCAAATTGGCCACACCACAAAACTCGGTGGTACAGCCAGAAGGGAACAGAAGTTCATATTTCCCTGCAGCATTGGACAAGTAGGATGTTAGGTGTTCAACGGCCTTGTTATAGAAAAGTGGCCTCTGATGTTGTTAAAACTTTAAATAAACATTAAATAAATAATTTTGTATTGAATTTGTCTTGCTTTTATATAGCATTATTGTTTGTGAGATTACAATTATCTGTTTTACTTCAATTATCAATGGCACAATTTACCCCAGTGTATTGTCTCTAATGGCACAACTTATCCCGCACCGGGGGCAAGTTGTGCCACAAAACCACTTTTTTTTCTAAAGCTATATTTCTCAAACAGTTTATTTAAGATCCGAAGTGATTGTTCCCAGGGATGCACAACATCCTAAACTATATGTACATATTTTAGTTGGAGGCATTACTGTAATCCCCTTGCTTTAAAGGCACTACTTACCCCACTCTCCCCTACTCTGTTACAACAAGTACAAGTCCTGCAATAAAAAGGTTACTGAAGTAAAAGTATAAAAGTATTAGCATCAAACTAAACTTAAAGTACCAAAAGTAAAAGTAGTCATTCTGCAGATTGGTCCATTTCAGAATAATATATATGATATGTTTTATAATGATTGATAATTAAAGTGTTCTCAAAGCTGGTGAAGGTGCAGCTAGTTTGAATGACTTTGTATACTGCAGGGTAGCTTGTGAATTTACTCCAGGTGGAACTAAAGTCTGATTTAAGACTTGATTATATTTCACATCATTCATCCAAATGTGCAAAGAAGCTAAGGATATTAAATAAATGTAGTGGAGTAAAAGTACACAATTTACCTCTGAATTGTAGTGGAGTAAAATAAAAAAGTAAAGTAGCATAACATGGACACACTCAAGTAAAGTACAAGTATCTCAAAATTGTATTTTAGTACAGTACTTGAATTAATGAATTTAGTGACTTCCCACATCTGGTTACACTTTAATCTCACTTGAGGAAGCTGCATCTGTATTTTGTATGCACACATATATACATACAGTTTCAAGAAAAAGTGAACCCTTTGGATTCTCCACACATAGCGTTGTGTGTTCCCTCCAAACAACTCAACTTTGGTTTCATCTGTCCACAGAATATGTTGCCAGTAGTGCTGTGGAACATCCAGGTGCTCTTTTGCAAACTTCAAAGGTGCAGCAATGTTTTTTCTGGACAGCAGTGGCTTCCTCCGTGGTGTCCTCCCATGAACTCCATTCTTGTTCAGTGTTTTACGTATCGTAGATTCGTCAACAGAGATGTTAGCATGTGCCAGAGATTTCTTTAAGTCTCTAGCTGACACTCTAGGATTCTTCTTCACCTCATTGAGCATTCTGCGCTGTGCTCTTGCAGTCATCTTTACAGGACGGCCACTCCTAGGGAGAGTAGCAACAGTGCTGAACTTTCTCCATTTATTGACAACTTGTCTTATGATGAACTGATGAACATCAAGGCTTTTAGAGATACTTTTGTAACCCTTTCCAGCTTTATGCAAGTCAACAATTGTTAATCGTAGGTCTTCTGAGAGCTCTTTTGTGCGAGGCATGGTTCACATCTGGCAATGCTTCTTAAGAATAGCAAATTCAAAACTGGTGTGTATTTTTGATAGGGCAGGGCAGCTTTAACCAACACCTCCAATCTCGTCTCATTGATTGGACTCCAGGTTGGCTGACTCCTGACTCCAATTAGCTCTTGAAGAAGTCTTTAGCCTAGGGGTTCACATACTTTTTCCACCCTGCACTGTGAATGTTTACATGGTGTGTTCAATAAAAACATGAAACATATAATTGTTTGTGTGGTATTAGTTTAAGCAGACTGTGTTTGTCTATTGGTGTGACTTAGATGAAGATCAGAACACATTTTATGACCAATTTATGCAGAAATCCAGGTAATTCCAAAGTGTTCACATACTTTTTCTTGCAACTGTATATTATTAAAAGTGAAGTTTTTATGTCTTGTGTTCTTTGTCTACAGGGATTTATTTAGGATAACACAGCTGTCGATATAGTGCATTTTCAAAATATTAAAACAAAAAACAATATTACATTAGCCCTTTCATGCATAGAGGTCACTACAGTGGACAGCTATTCAAAAGGTGTTTTCTTGTATATGCATTGTTTTTTTTTGCATAGTTGCACCATCAGCCACTACATAGGACCCTATTGCATCATCCCATACACTGCCACTCAGTGCCAAGTCAGTGTAAGTGCATGATACATGTCTCTAAACCAAGATGGACGACAGAAAGCCACATGGACCAAGTCACCCATCTATATCCTGTCAATCCTTTTATGGAAAGCGTCCCCTGCAGGTATAAAAAAGGTGGTGACATCAAGTAACAACTAAGGAATCATATAATTCATAAATTATCAAAGTATTGATGTTATGTTGGCAGGAAATCATGATTAACCACCTGTCCACTACAGTGGACGTCATGCATCACTGGCTATATTTCAACTACAATTCATACTGGTACTGCTGCTGTTGTTCCCAGGGCCGACCCTCCCTACAGGCAGATCATGCAGACTGTGTGGGGCCACACCTTGCGGAGGGGGGCCTCATCTGAGGCGCACCTATGCGCTTATGTGGCGCAATTAGGGTGGCGCGGCACGGTTTCGCGCTGCGAGGCTCCAGTAGCACTCATCAAATAACTGTGCGTGGGGCCTCAAATTGGCCCCTGGCCCTCGTTATTCTTGAAACGCATACTGTCCACCTGAGTGGACATATAAAAATCTCTTTGAAAAAACTAGATTAAAAAAAAAAAAGTTCAAATCTTGTTTTTCATGCACCAAGAGCAATAATAACACTTGGTAAAAAAATCCTGACTGAGGCTTTCATAATTCATGCATGAAAGGGTTAGATCCATTTTTATTGAACGAAAATGCATATGTATGAAGTAGAGTAAACCTTAAGATCCAATAGTTTGAATCTTGAGCAGAAATAATTACATATTTATATTGCATTATGCAACCCCCTGACTTTTATAAAACACTTAAAAAAGGTAATTATTATTTACCTTGAATTTGCATTAGACATATTGCCAAACCAATCAATGATATTATAACATAACAGGCAGTGTGTATATGAAATATAAGAAATATATGAAATATATAATAAAATATAAGTCTGATCATTCCAGGAGTGTTTTTCCTCATTAAGCTAAAATGTGTAATGTCATCTTATAGTATGGTAGTAAGTATTTGTACGGTGTGTGTGTGTAAAATTCTGCAAACGGCAAATGTGTCAAGTATCCATAATCTGAGGTAAAACTTGTCAGGCAGCATTTAGGTGAGCTGGTAAACTTCAAAGCTTTTTTTGTACAAAATCCAAATAAAAAAAGAACAGTCTTTGGCATCATTCCATCTTATCCTGAATTATGTATTTCTTCTGTAAAGACGCCAATGTACTGCCACGTCAATTCATAGCAATGATTAAGTTTGCTTCAAATACCCCAAATAAACACATCTCAGATTGAATTGATTGTATAAATATGGTATTGCACAATTGTTTTATAGATTTTCTTCTTGAGCTCTTCCAAATCTCCTTTAATTCTCACACCAGCACACGTCGGATCCTGCGTGAACGCTTGGTCTTAAGGTTGGTTTGGATCATCGCTGCAGAGGGAAAATAAAATAAATAAATGCTCTACTGTATGTTGTGTTTCAGGATTACTCTTCAAGCAACTTTACAGTTCATTATAGCAGGGAGAGTTGTTTTTTCACCCTTTATTTAGCAGGAACATGTATTTTATAGGATTTCCTAGTAACAAACCACGATTTATAAACTCATGAACTTATTAGTAAATAGTTAACCAGTAAAAAAAATGTGTCCTCTTACAGTTTTTGAAAAATAACTACCTGCAAAATCCAGTTTGTAGGTCTGTCCCTTCACGTCGAAGGTCATGCTGCTCTGGGGGTTTTGCTGGTACTTCCTCTCGATCTCATCACTGGTTACTGAGCATTCAGTCGACGTTCCTCTCTGCTGAAACCATTTGAAACATCATGTTTTTTGCACTTCGTAACAAAGACAGATACAATTTCTTAGCTTAATGGAACCAGATAACTTGCCCTGTGTTTGAACACATGCCACGTTCCACTGTTCCCCTCAAACTGCCACTGTGGTTTGGAGCCCATAGAAAGATTCTGGAAAGCTAATAGTGCTTGAGAAGCTCTGTAAATATAAAATTCTGGATTAATTTGAAGAAATGGTTTGACTTTGGGAAATGGTTTATTCACACAATCCAGACTCACTGTGCTCCTGCGAGCTGTTGTCGGAACAGTGGTCGACGAGTTACTTTTCTCTTTTTCTTTTTGGACACCTGTCGCATTTCTGCCAAAAAAAAGAATAAAATAAAGCTGCTTTCTAAGAAGAAACTAACATTAGGCCAATTTACAATCCAGTTCACACATAGATTGGGATTTGATTTTAGGTAATCTGCGCACATTCAAGAGCACACTTCTGCACATTTGAATGCTGATATGTTTGAATGACATTATTCAATTCTACAGTTGTATTTACATTTCAATGACTGCTGTTTGGTTTTTACTCCCTGGGAAGTATTTCACTTCAGAAATAGTTTTCTATTTAGGTTTGCAGTCCGGTCCTCCACTATATCTTTAGATTCTTGTTGGGATATTCCTGACTTCATTATCACAACTTTTGCTTTTAATGTGTGCACACGACCCTGATTTCTCATGGGGTGTGTACTTCCCAATGGCACAATGTTCTACATTTGGATTTAGTTGGACAGGATTAGTAAACATGTGCATTTGGTGAAGGTTTTTTGAGTATACTTCACCTCTGAATTTAATCTCAGAGGTTTTAGCACCGACGTTGTACGTGACAGAGCTTGTTGGGTTACTCTGGAACTTGTTCTCTATGTCAGAGCTCTTCACAGGACTGCGGTGGCCCTTTGAGTCCTGTCCAGAAAAAAAAGTATTCATTGTCAAATTGACCAAGAAGATCAAATGTTAAACTAGGGACTTTTTTTTGCACATGGTCCAAACGTTTAATTCTATCTACCTTGTCTCCATATTTGATCCACTTTCGACTCAGTGTGCAGTACCAGATCCACACAGTGTTTCCATCATCCAAACGTCTCACTCTCAGACTCTTTCCATTCACTCTCATCCGGTTAAAATCTATACTCACTGCCCTACAGACAGAGACAGAGAGATCAGTCATTAAACCGTTTTTGATGTAGAAAATGTTTCGGCACTGCATTGTTATCTCTTACCCGTATCGTGTGTTGTAGATTGTAATGCCTTTGCAGTGAGGCAGCGAATACTGGGCCTCGAGGATGTGATCATTGGCAACATCCATCCAACCATTTCTTTCATTCAGCTGCCACTGGTAGCATCTACCATCAGTGAGCTTTGAGTCTGGTTAAAAAGACAAAATGTAGAATTACATTTTTTGAAAAATGACAGTGTGCAAAGTAAAAAGTGACGTTTGTAGTGACTCAAAACCACTAATTGATGAGTCGATAAGATAATTCCAGTCAACAAAATCGGGACTAACATTCCTCACCACTAGACGTAGATCGGCCTGAATCCCGGTTGCTGGCCCCAGAGGGCTCCCCCCCGCCTGTGGGGTGGTTCAGCTTACACTTGGACCCGTAGCGACAGCTTCCTATCAGGGCAAACTGGCAGACGTGCTGGAAAGAGCACCTCTCACCATCCCGACACCGGCCTTTGTTGTAATACTTGCAGGGCCCGTTCCCATCCAACTGAAAATGGAAAGTTTTTGAATCACTCAATTGGTAAATAAAGTAAAGTTCTACATCAGTGTGAAAAATAGAAGGTGTCAAACATGGCAATAAACTCTCTTTAGCATAACATCTATGATATTCCAATAATGTAACTATTTAAAAAAAAGTATTTATTACATTTTAACAGTACACCCAGGGTGTAAATAGCCAATGTAGCTATACAACTAGCATGTTCCACTAAAGTCACCTGGGTGCAAATAACATCTGCCTTAAAAAATACGTAAGGCCTTAAATGGATCCACCTCTTGTGGCTTTATGTGCAATAAATAGATGCTGACTCAAACATCTTCTCCAACCTGAAAACCATCTCCTTCATCTGAATCACTGTCACTGTCAGACTCTTCACTGGCGTCTGATTCCGCCTCAGAGGAGGATTCAGGGTCACTAGAGGGCTTTTCCTCGTCAGCATCTGGGAACAATGGCACAAAACAATAATTGAGAATGAAAAACACACATCAAAATGTGTTTACATATTTGGTGAACACTTGAACAAAATTCCCATTGATAATGACTGAACATGATCATTATCCTTTAAGGGTGAAAAGTGGGGACACTTTTAGTTGTTATGTTGCAATTGTTTTCTGTACTGATATTTGTTCAATGAGAAATGGTAAACAATTAATCAAAGCTAACTTTTTAATTATTCGTTTTTTAAAATAAAGGGCCATAAGATATTCTTTGAAGTACATTTTAAAACACATTTTAAAAGAAAGTGCAAGTTAATATTGAAAAAAATGACTTATTATCTTTATTTGCTGCCCCCTGCTGGGTCATTAGATCATATCCAGTAGGCCTATGCTTTATGGCCATGATCTACACGTTGCAAAAATAATGTATAATGAAGGAAAGATAATAACCCTGAATTTAATTTAACTCCGAGTAAATGAGAAATTAAAGTAAACCATGATTATTACTATATATGTTTGGGCTTCAGTAGAACCAGAGTAGAACAGAGAGCTCATCAAAAAACGAAACTGAAACTTTTATGTCATGTTTTCAAACAATCATCGCCACTTCTTATAAATCTGTGTCTGACTGTCCGATTGCGAGGTAATACTTTCATCGTGTTTCCCCTATAACGTGGCATATAGACTTCTATTAATCTTTTTTGATTTTGCCTCATATCAACATCTACTACAACTCAAAATGTCTCATTTTGCATATAATAACATACAGTGGCCAGAGCAAAAGGGTACCTAAGCATGTCGATAAAACAAAAACACATAAGTAACTTATTATATTATTATTATAGTATGAATATTATTATAATGATGTTAAAAAAGCACTCACGACAGGCAGACGCCATTCTCTATCTAACACTTTCGTTTCCCTAACTTATATATATACAGCCACTCCCACACGCTGTTTGACGAGCAGCTGGTAATGCAGATGTGAAATCATAGCAAGATCGACTGCTGATTTGAACTACACAACTCCTTAAAGGAATACACATTCAAGCAGTTAAACAATATGCAATGTCAATGTAACGTTCAAAGTGTTATTGTAAACTGTATAGGTTCACAAATATTGCGTGGGAGAGCAAAAACAGCTGGATTCTATGTAATATTACTATTTTATTTAGCAGTATGCTAAACCTCCACACCGCTAGATGGCAATGGTGAACCGATACGGCCCTATACCCGCTCTATTAGAAGAAGAAGAAGAAGAAGATTAGGTCCCTCTAAAGGCGGAAGTACCTTCCCGTCTTTTCCTACGAAGGGTACTAAACGAAGAACGTAAACGAGGGAAACATGGAAAACGAAGATCACGATTACACGAGCACCACTTATAATAAAGTGTGCCCCGTGGAGTACACATATAAAAGTAAGTATAAGCAGCAGGAAAAGTTATGTTTTATTCAAACTAACTCACAGATAATGAGAGTTAGCTTGGGCACCTAGCATCCTAGCAAGTGGGCTCCACGCTGAAGTGCCCGGGAAGTAAGAATTAATTCAACAATAACAAGGAATATGGTTAATACACGCAGGCTATTTAAACTGGCCTACACACTGGTATGTAGGTTGTGTTTGTTATGTACTATTTGTGTAAGTGAGCATAGACCTACCATGAGGCCACACATTAATACACAGTAGATTGGTATGGTCTGCTAACTTCATTTTAAATTAGTTGCTTTTTACAGTTTGAGATGGTGTTATGTTTTAATTGAATTAAAAAGGGTATGGACTCCAGTATTCGGTACACGTTCTGTAATTAAGGGTGACACTGCTCATAATCAGCTGAAATGCAGTCTGCACACTGCATTAAAAAAACTGATTTTTAATACGTTTTTATGCTTGATTTGAGTTGAGGGTTTCAGTTTTTATCTATATTTTACAAAAGCCCTCATGAAGTAATTTCTAACAATTTTCTTCTCTCTCTCTCTCCCTCAGTGAGTGTCAAGGAAATTGAAGACTTTGTGAAGCTGAGGGTTAAGAATAATAACCTCTTCTCTGGAAAGAGAAATACGTCCATGTGGGCATGGAGGTAGGACATCAAGTTCAACGTTTTTGTTGACATTCATATTTAAAAAAGCTAAAACCAGTGACATTTGGGAATTTATATATTTAAAAAAATAATAGTACAACTTATTGATTTATCGACTCAATAAATATTCGATATATATTGAATAGATCAACTCATTGTGTTAGCTCTAATGTTTTTGTGTGTTGTTTTTTCAGGGCAATCCTACAACATATGCGCTTACATTACCAGATGAGCCATATTCAAGCATCCAAAAAATGGGAAAACCTGAAGAAGAGATACAAGGTACAGGAACAAAGAACCCCATAGATTTATCAAGCACTTTTACAAATGTTGTTTTTGATTTTTAACTTTTCTTCTTCAGGGGCTAAAGAACCCTCCAGCTGGAGTGAAAGTGTACCCTGAAGGTTGGCCTTTCTTCAACGTGATGGACGACGCTATGGAGGGTCGGCTGGATGGCGACACCCCCCTCCTCGAGGCCTTACCCCGCAGCGCTCATTTCCCCTCAATCTCCAAACGCAAGAGGAGGAAGATACCCATGGTACCTAGCTCCTCTATGGCCTCCATCGCAGGAGAGCCTGAGATTGAGGTCACCCTGAACGGAGACGAGGATGAGGAGATCACGGAGGACGGAAGCATGATGCAAGAGATGGAGCATGAGAGGGACTTGATGAAAAGCGAGAAACGGGTGATGGAGAGGGAGCAGCAGGTGCTACAGAGGGAGAGGGCGGTGCTGGACAGGGAGATCGCCGCTCTGGACCGAGAGCGAGCCTCCCTGGAAAGAGAGAGGGCGATCATAGAGAGAGAAAAGGCCCTTTTGGAGAGGGAGAAGGTGATGTTGGACAGGGACAAGGAGGCTGTGAGACAGGACCGGCTGGCTCTGGAGAGAGAGAAAGCCAGGCTGGAGAGACGTTCTGCACCCGGAGAAAGGACTGAGGACGGTACAGAAGACAGCCGCAAGCGGAAACACTCAGATGTCACAGACAGGAAGGAGCAGTTCCTCAACTTGTTTGAAAAACTTATTGAAAACTTTTGATTCATGAGGCTTCTCTGCACAACACATCCATGGAGAAAGTATTTTTGAGCAGTTTTCTAAATTAGTTAAGTCCATACAAATCAAAATGTACATTCACCATCAATGAAAACTTTGAGCCACTCCTAGTTTGGAGAGGTCTTCAAAACAACTTTATTCACTTGTGGTTATTCCATACAGAGCACACAATAGCAAGCTATTAGCATTATTCTTAACCCCATCCACAATAAAAATCAACAACCCCCCCCCTCCCAAATCAAACAATATTCTTTATTTGATCCACTCTAGACATTAGAGTCTTTGGTATTGACTATTGTGCACGGTTTAAACATCACTCTGAAATGAATTATACCAAATATTGCAGTTCATGTAAAAAATCTTTTTTTCAGAATATATATTTTTATATTACAGTACAGACTTTACAACAAATGATTGTGTTTAAATGCGTCTTTTATTGCATTAGATACTCAATGTACCTTCCATTAAGCTCCAGCTTCAATAAGTTTATGCTAGTATACATTTCCAAAAGTGTTAGATTTGTCATTAATATTATATTAATATTATTTTTTTACAAAACAAAACATTAAAAAATATTACTGGTTGTATTTTTTTGCCAGTCATGAACAAACACTAAAACAGACACGTACATGACATTTGAGGGTTTTTAATAAACTGATTTCTCCAAATGTTGTCTTGTTTTCTATAAATCAAGTTGCGGAACAGTTTGGCTTATGAAAAAGTTCTTATGTGTGTGAACATGCATTTTGTGAGGGAATGTGAGAGTGACAAATTCATTACGTTGCGTTATAAAAGTCTAAAACAACAGAAAGATAGAGCAGTATGTATGTGCTTGATCACCAGAATCTGTTCGTTGTTTATGGAACATACATTTCCACACAAATGTTTACCAATCCATAATATATGTCAGCAGCATGTATGAGTTTGTAATTGCAATTAATTTAATTTTGAGTATTGATAAATAGTTAGCATGTGTGGCTTTGGTGTGTCAATATGTACAAAGATGTGTGCATGTGGTTGTATTTGTGTGAGTCCGTGTGCAACAGTGTAGGTTTGTGTCTGTGGTTAGATGAGATCCCCGATGGGGATGCGGGGCAGGCAGATGTAGGCCTGCGGGGTCCTGCTGAGGTTGATGGGGTTGCCGTCCAGACGGATGTCCTCCAGTGCGTTTCTGATGTAGTTGAAGTCTTTCAGGTTGCAGAACGTGTCCTCGTGCATCGTCTGAATATTGTTACGCTGTGTAGAAGATAGGAAGATACATAATGAGATACGTCTCAATGCGTATGTAACTCTTGATAAATCATATTATCATGGAGAAATGTAATCATTATAGATTAGAATAAAGCAGGGTTTATCGCCTTATATTGCTGTTTGACATAAGTCCATGACTTTTAGCCCCTTATATAGGCAAGATTTTTTTTTTCTCCCTAAGACAAAGTAGTTTGTTACTCTGGAAAAATAAGAAAAATAGTCAAATGACCCAATTATTATAATAGATTCCAATAGTTATTGTGCAAAAAAGGCAGTTTCATTCCCTCTAATGTGGATAATTTCTGCTTATTTCTTCTGGTATATCATACAGTCATTCAGCTAGATATCAAATGTGTTCTTTGATCATCAACCTTCACAGCTTTGTACATTCAGGAAAGTCATGTGTAATATATATTTATATTTTCATATTTATTCATTTTAAATCAGAGAAGTTTTTTCCAACACAATTTTACATACTCTGTAAAAGATTGAGGTAAAAAGTACAAGGAGGTGAAACTCCACCAACACTTTAATATACAAATCTATTTGAATGGTTAATGACTACTTTGGCCTGTGTCCTCTATCGGGGTCAATTTGTTTTGTTTGTTGAAAGCAGAACCTGAACAGATTAAACAAGCTTTTTGGAAAGGATTCAGTAGGATACCAGTGTCAAAAACGTTCAGTGTTTGCTTGTTAGGGGGGCATTAATACGTCTGGTTTCTCGGGCTGTTCAGGAAGTGTTTGCAGCTTTTGTGCAGAGAAACTGCATGGAAGGATTTCTTTCATTTGAGTTAGCTTCTTAAAGGCTATCCCATGACCCCCCCCCCCCACACAGGTGTTGTCAATCTGCCGAATGAGACCTTGTGTGTGAGTTCTTGACATCCCTCTGACCAGCTTGATTGTGTTGCACCTGTTAGGGCAAAACCCATTCTTATTGGTTTGTGAAGTTTAGTGACATCATGTCATTTCATTATAGCTCCACCCACTTTGACAAGAGAAGAGGTGCAATCAGACCAAAGTGAAAACACCTTTGTGGGTGAAGATAGCCTGTTGATTTATTATTCCAGATTGCTTTCTCATTTCCCTTATTTTCATATCAAATTCAAACATGTAAAAAAACAGAAGCATTTTAGTGTTGGCCATTGATGGGAATTGAGGATCCATGGGGCCAAAGCAGATGTACCTGTAAGTGTAGAGATCGCAGGCTGTCTGGTAGAGGCACAGGGATGTAATCAATGTTGTTGTCTGTGAGGTACAGGTACAACAGGCCGGTCATATCCTGGATAGAAAGATAAATTATACAAAAATCAGTGGTGCAAAAATAAACAACCATTTACTCAAGCAATGTACAATTTTGAGATACTAGCACTTTACTTGAGTATTTATATTTTCTGCTACTTTGTACTTCCACTTCAATTCAGAGGTTAAAACTAGCTTCAACTTTACCAACACTTTAATGCATCAATAATTATAATAAAAACATATCATATATTATTCTAAAATGGGGCAATCTGCAGAATGAGTACTTTTACTGAGTAACATTTTCAATGCAAGGATTTTACATGTAACAGAGTATTCCTACACTCTACTCTACTTTGACGTAAGTACATGATCTGGATACTTCTCCCACCTCTGATAACAATTATGTCTTGTAAAGAACACCAAAATATCAAATACTCTCAAATTATATAACGTATAAAGATGTTGGAGAATCAATCAAATCAAACGATGTTGTATACGCCAATGTTATTATTAAACCTAGATATGACAAACATTTGTATATGAATATGTTTGTAATTACATTTGTTTTTTTTAAACCAAGACTAGCACCTCAAGACATAATAATAAACTTGGAAGTGCGAATATAGAAGCGTTAACATATAAACAACCTTATAACTACTGACACATTGGCCTTTATTGACTGGGGATGGAGTTGTACGTACTTTGAACGCCTCTTTGTGAATACCCTTGGTGCCAATGTTATTTTGGCTGGCATCGATCAAGCTCATGGTCTCTGGGAGAGCAGGCAGCTGAGAGATATGATTTTCTCGAATCAACACCTCCTCCAGCTCGGGAAGACCCAAAAATGCTCTCTCATCGATGGACGTTATCTCGTTGGCGGTTAGGTCGATTTTCTTCAGCTTGTCTGAAAGGATGTGAAAAAACATCATCTTAATACTAGGTTCTGAAAATCTCTTGTCTTGCATTTCTACATTTTCTTTCAAACGTACTCATGGAGGCGAAGTCAGACTTGTTGATCTTGGTGATTCTGTTGTAGCGGGCGTAGAAGTGAGTGGTGTCTTTAGGAAGAGGTGGAACACTATCCAGCTTCAAGTCATCGCAGTAGACCGAACCACCGAGGCACGTGCACAGCAGGCAAGTGGGCATACCTGGAGCACATTAATGAGAAGGATCAAAGAAGAGGGAGGTAATACAATAAGAAAAAGTAAGAGGTATAATCAGAGGACAGTAATCCAAAGGGCAAGTCAATCAAATGAGGATTCAGGATATCATGGTGTTGACAAGTTCCAAAGTGAACGGACATTTTTTTGTTATCATTCTTCTCTGTGTATCTAAATACTGACCTTTCCTGTCAATCTCAGGCTCATCAGGCTCGTCAGGTTCACCCGAGCTCACTGACCCTTCTACACCACCAGTACCCTCCTGAGGGGTTTCTGGTGTGGTCGGAAGCAGCCCCTCCTCTTGTTAGAGACAAGATTAGGTGTTAAAGAAACAGGTTAGATCAGCATGGACATGACTGGCAATCAGTAGCCCACTGGTTGCCACGGTGGTAAGTTACACACAGTTTATTTGCAGTGTGAACCAAGCGGTTATGGCATTTAACTGACGAATGGAAGTTAAATGAAAACGTTTTGTCGGAGTTAATGATATGAGAGGTGATGGGCACAAAATGCTCGAGAAAGCGAGTCCAAATGCGATTTCATCTCTAGGTTGTAAGTTGTCCCAATGTCTACAAGGCTAGATAACAACATTGGACTTGGTATAAACAATTATGTTAAAAAAAGTACATAAATAAAATCATTGCTTAAGTTTGAATATACCGTTCTAAGCATTTATATTTCTAAAAAACTCTTTTGGAAGGTGCACTGTGGAGTTTCTGGTAATCATACAAAACACATGTAGTGTATTCTTCAGGTTTGACAAATAAATGATAGTGACCGTTTTCATAAAACATTTGCAAAAAGCGTTCTAGGGGGATTTCTTTTCTCCCATTGCCACCAAGGCGGACTGGAGGTTTACATACATGTTAAATGGCTAGCAGTCTTCTTCTTCACTGAATTTCCTGAAGCAACATAATGCTTCCTCTTTATCGCCACTATTCAGAACAATAGTGTGAAACAAGCTTCAGAAATATGTACCGCATGCATGTTCTTCCTTAGGTATACTCGTAAAACACATTCTCTATAGCACTACTGTTGGTCAGAAACTCCACAGGGTACCTTTGTAGCTGCTGGTCTCAAAAAGCAAAGCCAGTTCATAAGAAGATTCATTGCCTCAGCAATGGCATTGGCACCTTGTTCATGGTAAGTATTGACTTTTTGAAATACCGATTTGAGTGTCAGGTATGGACTTTAGTTTTAACCTTGCCTTAAACATATGTCTAGATTAGATACTGACCTTTATCAATATCAGGAACCAGAGTTACCTCAGGGACCACTGTGTCTCCAGAGCCAGAAGCACCAGAAGCCCCAGAGGATCCAGAGATCCCCAGATCCCCAGAGGCCCCTGAGGTTCCTGAAGCTCCCGAGAACTCCCCTGAAGCACCTGATGCCTCGCTAGGGATAGTCTCGGGAATGAGAGGCAGCTCCTCCTCTTGTTAGAGCCAAGGGTTGGGGTTAGGAGACATGAGATTAGGAAGGTGGAGGGATCAGATGACAATCAATCAACCCATTAATCAATCACACCCACATTTTTGATTACACATGAGGCTAGGAGCACCATGATTATGAAAACGTACAAAGAGAAACAATAAAGTAAGATTTCAGGCAAACAAATCAACATTTAACTACATTTAAAAAGGAAGTTAAATGGAATTCAAGACAATCAGTATGACAGGTGATTTTAGACACATCAAGAAATAGAGTTGCCAAAAGCCTTTCTGGCAGGCATACTAACCTCCAGATATCAATGTTATCCCTGAGGAACCGGACTCACCGTCCCCAGAAACCCCAGAGCCTCCTGAGGCCCCTGAAATCAGGAGATCTCCGGAGAACCCAGAACCAGACTGGTCTCCAGAGGCCCCAGAGCCCAGGGGGAATTCAATAGAAATCCCAGAGCCAAGATCTCCAGAGGCTCCAGAAATATCCCCAGAGCCTGAGAGATCCCCGGAGCCCGAGAGATCCCCGGAGCCTGAGAGATCCCCGGAGCCCGAGAGATCCCCAGATATCAAGATATCCCCTGATGCCAAGAATTCCCCTGACCCCCCAGAGCTGTGGAGCTCCTCAGAGGCTCCGGAGATAAAGACAATATCACCGGAACCCCCTGAGCCACCAGAGACCAGAAGGTCTCCTGAGCCTCCAGACCCAGAAGCCCCAGAAGCTCCCGAGGCCCCGGACCCTAACGAGCCTCCAAAATCCCCGGACACATGAAGGATGTCAATGGGCGTCAGACGCAGCTCCACCTCTTGTTAGAGACAAGATTAGGTATTAATAAACAGACAGGTGAAACAGAACATTAATCAGGCATGGAGCTAACAGTGATGATTAGGTTAAGTGGTTGGTAACAAATGGACAAAGTCATTGAAAAGGACACATTTAACCATAACAGCTAGTTAAATGGAAGACATGCACATGGAAAAGATGATTGTTGAAGAAGAGTTTAGAGAATAGATTAGAGTATCGTTGTTAGGAGCTTTGGCTGCTGTCCTTTTACAACTTCATATAGACCGGAGCAAGGCCCTCTCTGTCACCCACTGAACTCTATGTTTACGAGTGTGTGCTTTTTCAGACCTTTCTGTGTGTTTGGGCCCATGAGAACCCCAGAGCCCCCTGAACCCTGAGGAACGAGCTGGCGTGTCAGGGGCAACTCTTCCTCCTCCTCCTCCTCTTCTTCTACTTGTTCTTCTGAAGCCTCGGTTACAGGGTAGTTGTAGTCAGGTGCGAGTGTTCCAATCTCTATCTGAGGGAAAGACAGCAGCTTTGAGTAAAAAATGTATGGGTGATATTAACTGTTTTTATTTTTCTGTACATCAAATAATAACCCCAAAACTAGTCAACGAAGCACATGGCTGTGTGCTTGTTCCATGTTAGCTGATTCTGGTAAATATTCTTTAAAGAAGCAAATATTATCCTCTTATTATTGCACACAATATACTGGGTTTCAGTATGTTGCATGTTGTATGTTGTGCCTACAGAACAGATCTAACCTAGACATTTCAATGTTTGGTCAAGTATAAAATGCTATCTTAATTAAGAAATGAAATACACTAGAAATACACTGAACATTGGTAGCCAATGACATAAAGGTGATAGCCTCTGCTGTATGATCAATTATAAATGTAATCCATTAAAAGTGATTTCAAGAGATGAAAACAGTCTCCCCCTTATTTAATAGACTTTATGCACTGCATAGAGTTACTAACTGTTTACTATTACTTAGTATTGGGAAACTGAATCATAGCAGGCAGACAATTGATTCATAACACTCAGAAGGAAAAAAGGAAATCAAACAACATGAGAAGCCTTCAGAAATAATAATCTTGGATCTTATGTGACACAGTCCAATTGGCCACATCAATGTTATCAAGGACCAACACAAAGAACCATGAGATCATTAGCATCTTTACCACAAGATGGCAGCCAAGTGCGCAGATTTATCCAGAGTCTAGAAAGTAATGACCACTCAGATACAACCTCCATGAAAAAACATTTGTGTAGTAAAAAAAACACCTGCTGTGTACCAACGGGATAAAAGTGAAGGACCTTTTTACTTGCCATTGACCATTAGCACTCATAGCACACACATACTTAATATATTATTGTACATTAGTAGTATTTTCCATAACAACAGGTATACAAATCATTGAAAGACATGTTGTCTTCTTGCCATGAATGCCACAACAAAGAAACTTTCTTTGTATTGAGTTTGGAGCTCTTGTTAATTCTCACATGGTTAAGAACTGTGAATGGAGGAATGCATAGGAATCACTTTGTCAATGAGGACATACACAAAACATTTTTTTTGGATCTTTTTAGAAATGTTTTTATCAGCACATTATGTGACCCAAAATGCTTCATTTTACAGTAACTGGTTATATTTAGTTTAAGGTGCTTTTAGATACATTTAAGGACTATACAACCTGCCGTCATGTTAATGTTTTCTTCCTCAAAATATCTAATTGCTTTATAAACAAAGGCTTTGCAGCATTTATGTTTTATATTGGGCAATAAATGAAAAGACACCTCTGCCTAACCAACCAAGCTTGATGAATCACCGTGCTTTGTGGTTTCTTCATTAAAAGCTTCGGGTTTATCCATCTGGTATTATAATTGCATTCAGTCGTTCAGATATAACCTGCAGTTCTATCCCTCTCCAGACGAGGGCGCTGAACCCCCACACACCGCCACAGGTAATACCTGACACTCTCAGCCCAACAAGGCAGACTCAACCCTCCAAAAAGGGAATGGTCCTTGTGGAACCAAGACACACATGGTAGCTGCACAAATCCATATTTTAGTTCTCTCAGCTGCTTTCAACCGCGGTAATCAGATGTAGGTAAGAGGTATCAAAATAAATGTATATCAAGACATACAGTAAATACTCCCTTACAAAGTACAACCTTCAAGTGCTTGGTTGTAACAAATATAACTTGGTAAATGCATGCAAAGACTTTAAATGCTGCAATGAAAAGATGTCCAGTCATATTTTAAAGCTTGGCAGAGACACAGTTTGGGATACAACAAGGTAGGCCTTTGAAAAGTCTTGCACACAGTTTGCTCGCTGCAGCTCTCCCCTTCATTCCCCCCTTTCCCCAAAGCAAACATCTACACCCGAGGGGAAAGAAGACGCTGGCAACCAAACATATTGAAAAACCCCTCTGGAAACAGTATGGGAATAGCCTACAGAATGCACAGGGAAAGACGTTGAATGTGAGCATCAAACTGACGCCAAATGTCACTGCTGTAGGCCTACTATATAGCGTACCAATCAGTAGGTGCATTTAGCACGAAAAGTGAAGTTTCCATAAAATCCTCACACTACACCAGCTGTTTCCTTATCAAAAAACACAATGACCGAACGGATTGCTTCAGTATGGATCATCACAGAAAAATGTGATGTGAAATGATCAACCATCTCATGGTTCTTCACCCTGATATTGCACAGCATGTACAACGTCTAATTATGCTTATGAAGTCTTGAGAAAATGAAAGGCACATTTTCAACCATATTTATTAACTTCTCCAGCCCAAAGCCAATGCCAACGTAATATATGCACAGGAAATATGCTTACTCTCTTTATTGGCTAGTAGAAGATTGATGACAGACAAAATCCAGGCTGTTAAAAATGTAACGTTGTTTTTACACTTTAGTACGGATTAAACAAATACTTAATATTGTGAGAATGAGTCAAGTTTTGATACATTTTTTACCATAGAACAGCTGGCTATTTACCTCCTCTTTCCAGTCATTATGCTAGGCTAAGCTAACGGAATGTAGCTTCATATTTACACAGATGTGAGAGGGGTATCAATCCTCTCATATATCTCTCGAGGAGACAAATCCTGGAAACAATTAAGAATGATTTCTCAATATAAATAAACAAAATCTAAAAAGAACACTACATTAAAGCACTGTTAATTATGGATAATGTTGTAACATTGTATTTATGTAGTTATTTTCCAAGTGGAGCAAATGAAGAACTTTAGGCGGCTTCTTACTATACAGTACTTTGCAATCCAAAACAACAGCAGCACAAACCTCAGCTTCAGACATTAATGTAAAGTTTAATACCTGAGGTGTTAAAGTCTAGTTCAAAATGACTAAATATGTGTGACACTATATAAGACATCTAAATTAGTATAAAACTGGTGATAAAAGCATTTGCAGAGACCATTGTATGCAGCTGACTGAAGACGATTTGCTTGGCTAACACTGTAGATGAGCCTTAACCTTTCTGAAAAGAGACAAGCTCTGAGGAGAAAGACGAGAAATACCACCAGAGAACTGGATGTGGAAAGTAAAGAGTCAGCATTCCAGAGGCATGGAGCTCATCACTGCTTCACTTCTCCCCTGACATCTGATGTGTGTGTGTGAATAAAATCTGGTTAATCCTCGCTCTTTTTAAGCAACCAGTATATCTTAAGCTGAAACAAAACAAAATGTCCTTGCAACACGCTTTTTCTCAACACGCAAGGCTGCAATTATGAGTCCAAACTTTGTTATTTCAATGGGGACAACAACGTGGGGAAGATTGTTATAGCTCTAATGGTATTGTTTTCCCCTTTCCTGCGCCCAAAGACCCTGAATTATTGTGGCAATGTGCTGTGTCACTGCAGGCTTGTTAAACAAAGGGACATTATCAGAACCATTTCCCAGCACATTATAACTTTTCCACACTGAACACTCCCATGTGTGGCACGCAGCTGTAAAACTCAACATATTTTTATCATTTTGAAAATAAGGCAAACGTTTTTATATTTTGCAACAGTGGATTAAATTAATTCACTGCTTTATGTTGTTTGCTTTTCAAGATCTTGTCATATTTGCTAAATCTGCATTGGCTTGTAGGATTGGTCTGAGATAACAGCACTGGTGTGAGTGCTATCCACATCAAGTTAAATCCCTGGCTAAGAGAAAGCCTGTTGAAAATCCAACATCTTGACATTGCCTTGGACTAATTTCCGTGTTACAAAGAGGTATAAACGGCAACATGAAATGTGGCTAAAGCTTGCATTCCCAGCATGCCCTGCAGCATTGCCACATCAAACTCAACTTGAACTGATTTAAAGGGCACTTGTGGAATCCATCAAACCTTCTGCCTCTCTTCTGCACTCATCTTTTAAAAAGCTGTTGTGCTTTACGGAGCTTGAACCAAAATGAGAAAAGTAAGTCCCAGAGAGCACAGGAGTCCTTGAGTTCAAGCACATGCAAAATAATCCATCTGTGTTTCCTGTGTTTCTTGTAAATGCAGACCAACAAGAAAGAACAAACATACAAACAAATCAAAATGTTTCTTACATTTTGTAGCCAATATATCCATGGGGCATAAATACGGTTTCCTTCCAGGTATGAAAACTACTCCAGATGCAAAATAATTCAGCCTGTGGATACTCTGTTGCATATAACTTAAATGGTGGCTGGCCAAGGTATAAAAGTGAAATATTTTGGCCATAATAGTGCACAAAGCTGGACAGCATTTTGTCCATTTTCCAAATGGCAACAGCTGTTGCCATTTGGAAAATGGACAAAATGCTGTCCAGCTTTGTGCACTATACTCAGTTCAAAATCAACCAAATTATTGCCAATATTACAGAGTTGTGTAATTAGATGGAATCCTTAAAGGATGGGAGTTAGAGGAGCCTGCAACATATCATGTTGTTGTGAAACAATTATATTTTTAGTCTGTCTTCACAAGTTTTCCAGTGATTATTCAACTTTGCATTGGTGACGAGAACAACTAGGGTTAGGGTTATGGTTAGAGGGTTAACTAGTGTCCTTCAGCTATGCATCATGGATTGAACACCATAAAACAGACTCACCAGTAACTTTATAATGAATAAATTGTTTTGCATACATCTGTTGTCAATCCCAATTAGCATGGCTAAAGCCAAAACGCATCTCATTACTTGAACTGCCGGGTGACCAAAAACAAACCGTAGACTAATGTGTATGCCGATTTCTAAATCAGTGGAGGAATATGAATATTAGATAATGTGAACGTTGAAAGCACAATGGTTGCCTTTGTACAATGGATGGCCATGGTATTTGAATATTTCGCCTATACATTGTTTTTCAATCGATACAGTTTCTTACCTGAGGATCATCAATTGTCAGCTCTTCTTCATAGTCATAGTTATCTTGGTTCTCCAAATTTGAATTGTCTAGATCCACATCGTAGTTGGCACTATCGTATGTGTCCAAGTCCGCTTGTCGGGAAATTCTGGGGCTAGCCACCACCGCTTTGAGGACGAAGAGTCCCCAAACGAGCCGCACAAGCATCCTCATACTGTCGTCCACCTTGACACAGACAGAAATACTTCAAGTCAAACAGGGAACGTCCATTTATAGATGTACAGTTGAAAAATGTCTTCAATGTATTTGTGTTATGTGTCTTAATGCTTTAGTAAAAAAGGAACAAACATGCAGAAATTCAAGATATATAAACATTACTTGTACAGTACAAAACTATAGTCTGTAATAATTGAATAAAGTATTAAAACATTGTTCCGCCCCCGTTAGAAGCGCTTCAACAAGGCATGTCTTCATGATATTGGATGTACAACCAGCCTATGCTGCTTGACATTGATTCACAACACTAAGGTCAGTGATTTCATTACTGAGGTGAAGACAGCTGGAGGGATTGAAATATGAGGGCCTCTTGCTTCACTGTAGCCAGAGGCTCACTGTTCCAGGGAGCAGCCATCTTGGCTCAAATCAGTGCTCGCCTGTGACGTGTCAAAGGTTAAAAGTCAGAGTTGATCTGATAAGAAACCATGGGACCATTAATGAGTCTTCAGGAAATATAATTTCAGTGTAGGATCTTTTGGTGATGGCGTTAAATGTATTTAAAAGAAAAAGATGTTGGGTTTCTTTGTTTCCAATAAAACACAGTTAAGTCTTTTTTTTACTAATAACCCCATAAAGGTTTTGGCAGATTCAACAAAATTATTGAGGTGTGCACTGTGCAGACAAGAAGGTCTTTCAACTAGCATCTCAAATTAGCATGTATGATTTTCACTGGGTGCAGATCTACTGCACGGCCCTGAACCAGATAGCTGCTGTTCCTAATCTTGTTAATTTCCTCAGCAGCACAGATCTACCAAGTTTAGTGAGGTTCGTTGAGTTCAAAGATCCCTAGTGGAACGTGCTTACACGATTAGCACAAGTTAATTAATGCCTAATGAGATGGCACCACAAACATGGTGCGTAGGAATTCAATCATCTGTCAGTAGAGGAACTTGATAGCACACTGATAGCAGGTGTAGCTACACGACTGCAAGCCTGGGATAGATGACTTCAAATCCAAGAAAAAAAGTTTAAAGAGAGTCCTCTAGGCCGGGGTAGAGAAACGGAGAGCGAGGGAAGAAGAGAAGAGATGTGGACAAGGTGTTGGCCCTCAGGGTTAGATGGAGAGAGTGAGAAAAAGATTCACGAGTGGGAGAGAGCAAGGGAGAGCAAGGGAGAGAGAGAGAGAGAGAGAGAGAGGTTTCTATGCTAACTCGACCCCTCACCCTTTACAGAGGGCCTTTATGAGGCCCGGTGGCTGCTTGTCTCAGCACTCAAACTCCAAATTCCAATGAGGTTTGTGGACAGGATGGCAGTGAGTTACGGCTGCAAGGAAAAGCTTCATTCAGGAGTGAGGGTGCTACAACGCACACACATTCACACGCACACTTTAAAAGACACATCCTTGCACAGATGCACACTCTGTCTTAACACACCTATCTTTCAGAGAGAGAATATTGAGAAACCTCTGCTGCTATTTTTGGGATGAGGACAGATTATAAAAAACTGACCAGCATCAGGTTATTTAAGTCATGAATCAATCTTTGTTGATATCAGATGGATTGACTAATGTTGCACACACTCCTGTCATTATCTCTTGGAAATGACCAACATGAACTGAGTGCACCCTATTGAGAAAAGGTGTGCTTACTGGTCAGCATCCTTACTGAAATAGACTTTCTGTCATGAGGCTATGAAATCCAGCATGGCTACACTGAAAGAGGGACTATACTGGAGACAGAGGTGTGCTTATACAGGCCATCACAGTGTGCTGTGTGTGCAAACTGTGTATGTGTGTGTATCGGTATAGCCTCCGGACTACCTCCGTGTTATGCTTGGCTTCGTGTTTGGCATTCCTGATATCCACTCATTCTAGCTTTTTTACCTTTAAACACATTTCACACACATCCTGTTGCTATAGGTTGAACAACAAACTGCCAACACGTTTATTTGTATTCCAAAAAGGCCTAAAAGAACTTAAAAACTGTGATAAAGTGACACAAATAAATAAATCATAATTTTTAAAAATATGAACGACAAATAAGATTATCAGCACAATTTCTGGAATTAGTGGGAGCTAATTAAATATATATATACCATTTTTTAAAAACAGAAATTGAGGGAAAAGTTTGTAGAATCTCTTGAATCAAAATTCATGCATGATCAGATATTATGTCAAAACAATGCTGCAGCTGTCAAAACTGCAAAATAGTTCAGTATTACTTTTGTTGTAAAAAAAAGACACCTGTCGGGAACGCACACCCGAATCACATCTACTGAAACTTACATTTTATTTTTACCATCGAACATATTTCAACCACTGCTATTGCCAAAGGACAACAAAGTTTCACATTTAAGTCACCAAAGCGAATCCCATGAGTGAAAAAATAAAGCTGCTGCACCAACAACCAATTAGCCAAGAAGCTCCACTGCAAATCGTGAATAGCTGTGTTTTTGGAGGGGCAAGTAGACCCTCTCTTGCCTGCCTAATCCCCTGCACCAAAGATCCATTGAGCCAGCATGAAGATACACCAAGAACGCTTACCTCTGTCTCCTGCTTTCCCGAATGGTCCCTTCAGCCGTGATGGAGATGCTGAGGGCTCCGGGATTTGGCCAATGGTGAGAGGTCGAGCAGGGTGCCCTGACGAGGGGAGGGTGTGTGCGTGAAGTGTGTGAAACGTGTGTGTGTGTTAATGTGACGAGTGTGTGTGTGTAGGTGTAAGTCTGTGCGCCAGGCAGACCTGAGTGCCCTGCTGCTTATGTGTGAAGGTAGGCACTGAGACCGATTGGACCAGAGCAGATTGCTTTTGGTCAGTCAGAGTGCACCCACCCCATACCGTACACCCACATGCACGACCCCCTTAAACACTACGCACACACACACACACACACACACACACACACACACACACACACACACACACACACACACACACACACACACACACACACACACACACACACCACACACACACACACACACACACACACACACACACACACACACACACACACACACACACACACACACACACACACACACACACACACACACACACACACACACACACACACACACACACACACACACACACACACTTATATATACAGACACCAGACACAGAAAGAAAAAGAGAGCAAAGGCCCCCCAATGGCAAAACAACTTTGTATCCCTTACAAGCGTATCCTTTATTTTTTTAAGAGCTCAACCAGACTGAAATATTTGTCCGCCTTTTCCTGAAGTGAAACTCTGGCATGTGTTGCTTTCATGTATGGGGGGGATCCACGGGCCCTAGCACACAATGGGAGCTCTGTGAGGAGCCCCTGTTAGCATGGTGCTGAGAGGAAGTCCCCTCTTGGAGAAAGGCCTCTGCCCTCCCTCTCCGTTGAAGCTGCTTTTCTCTTTGCCCCATCGCTTGCTTAAGATTGTGGCTTACCAATTTAGTTCAGTCGTGGGATACTATATCATGACATGACAGAGAATGAACTTCTTCGGGGTGAGGGAGGAAGATCCCTTCGGGAAGTACTTATTTTCCAGTTCTGCACCAATGTGGGTGTGTTCAAGGACATGCTAAATAGACTGTCTTCAGTGGGCATTGATAAAACAAAACAAAAAAGAAACACACAGTACTGCCCAGATTTGCACTGTCAGCTTTATTTGGCAATGATTTTTGTCTCAACCTGCCCACTCCTCTCTTTCCCTCCCATGGTAACTCTAGACCTTTTGATGAGTGAGGGGAAAAGGACGTAGCGAGAAAGCCAGAAATCCTTCTGCACCTGCCATATAGGCTGGGATTCATATTCATGGAGTTTTCTTCTGCCAAGCATTGAATAAAATATCCATACAGAGTGCATTGTTAAAGACATGAGAAGTCTGTAGAGTTAATCCCCTATGTAGAAGCTTGGTAATTAACTTTGAGATCAAATTGTTATGCCAACAGAAACATGGATTATATTTGAGAGTTAATTTTTGGATCAACCGGTGTGGATATATCAAATGTATTATTTTTCTTATATTTAAGGTTGATTTTAAGGTAATTTAAACACGGGAGTTGTACATAAAATGACAAATTAGACAAGGTCATTTTCTCATGTTTTTTTTCAGATTTTTATTCAAATTAAGACAATAAAATACAATCTCTTGCTCGGTTCATTCAGACAAATAATTACCAACATTAAAAAATACGTTTTGACATTAAAAAACATAAACATGTATTGCTTTTGTTTAAAAAACATTATGGATTTTGGCCATGAATATTCACAGGTTTCTACATATTTTCTTAAAATATGAAATCTAATTATTATCTATGGTAAATATGCATATCTGCAAAATAGAGCATTGTCCGAAGTAAAACAACAAACCTGAAACAAAATACATTAATTTGGCTTCAAGTCTACAATAAAGCTAAGGTTTTCCTGAAATATTATAAAAAAGAATAATACAATAATGTGTCCTCAACTTGCTATTAACATACCAGAATAACTTGCATAATGATTTAAAGGACAATCATTGATCAAGTAAGGGGCGGGAATTAATAAGCATTTGCTTCCTCCTACTCCCTTTCGGACACATATGATTTTTTATTATTATTATTAATATGAAGACTTTTTTTTGTTGAATATATAAATATTCTCATGAATGTGGATAAATACTGTATTTTAACAATACGGTATTCTGTTTTTCACATTTGTTATTTTTTATTTGTTATTTTTTTAATCTGTTCGAAATAAAGATTGAAATGAAATGAAACACATGTTGTTCTCCTATCCATCTTAATCACTGTCATGCTACATTACAATCAGATTGTAATTCTGAATTGTATGTAAAGATGTTACACCAACATAAGGCACAAGTAGTGGTCAACAAAGTGCCAAGCGTGTTTAAATCTTTTGTTCCTTGTAAATGTTGTACTTTCTTTTTAGTTAGAATTTTTCTGAAAAATGTAAATGGTATCTGGAACTGAAGAAACTTTCATAGGTGCAAATATTACTCATGCCATATTCACAGATAATCATCATTTTTTGAGAACATTTGAATTTTCTAGAACATGCTGATTTTTTTTGGATCTTAGATGACAATGGACGTCAGGAGACGGAAGCACAGAATGACATCTCTGGGAATTGGTGGCTTAATGTCATTGCCGTCCAGTCTGAGGTAGCGCAGGCGAGGAACACTTTCGTTGGAGGAGTCTTCCATAGCCTCAACGGCGACAGGACAGATGTTTGCGCCACTTACACCTGTAAAAACAAAGGCAATAAATGACTTACAAAAGCATTTCAGGATACTTCTCTGATGCACAATCCTATTTAATGAACACATAGAACGAACCCACTATGAATCTACACAATACATGCATCAAAACAAGTAGCAGTATGTGCTTTTGGTTAATGTCAGACTTACTTTTTATATTGTTGTGGTCGAGGTGAAGGTGTTCAAGGCCAGCGGGAATGAGGGGAACCTCAGTCAGCTGGTTGTGGGAAAGCTGCAAATCCAAAATGCTGGACACATTAAACACATCTCTGGGAACTCCACTGCTGCCAAGCTTGTTGTAGTTGAGCCTCAGAAAGGCCACTTTTGGTAAACCTTTGAAGTAGCCAGCGGGGATCTTCTCAATGTTGTTGTCATCAAGGAAAAGCTGGGTAGTGGTGGGAGGTAAGCCAATAGGCATGCTATTCAGCTGGTTCTTGGCCAGGTTGATCTGCACCAAGTTGTTTAGGCCTTTCAGGCTCACCTCGGTCACAGCATCATCCATCAGCTTGTTCGCCTGGAGGTCCAAGAGGTTAAGTTTATCCAGACCAATGAAGACACCAGGAGGGATCTTGGAGATGCGATTGCGGGACAGACGTAGAGACTCCAGGCTGGCTGGAAGGGCAGATGGCACAGAGGACAAGAGGTTGTCATCCATGTAGAGGTGCGCCAGGTTAGGCTTTGTACTTAGGACACCTTCTTCCACTCCTTCACTAGTGATTTTGTTGCGGTTCAGGTTCAGCCAGCGCAGCTGTGTGGCGTTACGAAGGGCATCTGCTGACAGCACTTCGATTAAATTGTTCTGCAGGTAAAGATACCATGTGTGTGGAGGAATTTTGGGAATACTCTTCAAGCCCTTATTGTCACAGTAGACAGCACGAGGGAAGTTGGGGGGACAGCTACACTCCCGAGGGCAGGCTTGAATCTGGGCCAAATATTCCTCATGAGTTATGTCCTGGCCAAGAACTTGCCCAACCAGGCACAAGGTGCAGAGAAGGCCCAGGAGAAGTGCCATTTTTCCTCCAAATCTATGAGGAAAAGAGAGAAAATATTATAGGCAAATAGACATCTGAATGCGCTAGACATCCAAGGTACAGAGGATCAGATAAGGCAAGGCAAGGCAATTTTATTTATATAGCACTTTTCAGCACGTGGCGATTCAAAGTGCTTTACAGAATAAAAGCAAACAACATTTAAGAACAAATACAGCACAAATACATTATAATAGATAAGATCCTAAGAAATCATAACCCCATTGTAACTGATGACCCGTACTTGTTTGCATTTGAGAACATGTTTCGTGATCCTAGATTAGCCTTTCTCACTCTAGAAATATGAAAAACAGTCACTTTAAATGCTGTTAATCATACGGCTAGCACATATCCAAAATTAGTTAAACTCTGGCCCAAATTAGCAACATTTCACATGCTCTACCACTAATGTCATTATAGTTAAATTCCAATGGCAGGTGCCAACAGAGCGAGGTAACACGTTTTTTTTTAGATCATTTCCTTGCCTACCAATGACAAACTGAGATAAGAGACAGGATGCAGAGCCAGGTCAACTTTAATTACATTAGGACAATCTTGAAGCTCAGGTTTTACATGTCAGTTGTAAGATGCACAATATTCAATAGACGTTCATCGCAACATGTATAGCTAAGTTTACAATGGATCTGGAAGTCCACTTGCTTTGTTTTGTACAGCTGATACAACAATGCTATTGATGCTACAACTATAAACAGGGGTACAAACAGTTCTAAGAGTGCAATACAATCAATGCTATGTAACAGAGAAGGGTAAAAACTAGGGCTGTCAAGTTAACGCATTAATGACGCGTTAACGCAAAAAAAATAACGCTACTAATTTAACGCGATTAACGCATGTGTATTTTTTTTCCTCGGCCGCCCCTTAGTTTCAGAGCGCATCGAGTTTAAAATACCATCTACAAGCTGATGCTGACCAGTAGCGTGGTGTGGGAAAAAAATTAGGGGAAGCCAATAATACGTCCTTTCTTTTGGGTCGGGGGTGTGGTGGTATGTAATGTAATAACGTAACCAGATGAGTGATTACAGCACCCGGTATCATTTTATACACATTTTTATCAGATGCAGGACTTGCAAACACCTGTTATCTAACCGACAGGTCCGCACGCACTCTCCAGCCCAAACTCTAATAACATTCATTCATTCACAAACTAAATCAGGAGACCTTTAACGTTTTACGTCCGATTCGCTCCTTTTTTCCTCGCTGCTCCAGTTTGGGCATCGGCCTGTCATCAGATTGTATTTGTTATTGCTGCTGTAACGGAAGTTTAGTACAATTACTTTTGATGAAATACTCCAAATCTCCACCCTCCATAATTGCACTTGCTTCAGTTGCTTGCTTCTTTCTAACGGCGGTGAGAGTGATGCAGTGGCGCTATCTATCTTCTATCGATTAGATTTATCATTCGAAAATTATAAAAGTAGGGTAGACATGTGGATATTATCCGACTGAACAAAACTTGCATTTATCTAACAGGTTCGTTATCCACTGACCTTATTTCGAGCTATTTTCCAAAATCCTATGGAGAACTCCCATTGCTTTTTTGTCGAGGGAAACCGAGAGCAGCTTACTTCCGGATTTTAGGAGCGTCACTGCAACACTAAGTTGATGCGATTTGATTGGATTGTGAGGCAAGGGAAGCCAGCCGCCTCTGGCTTCCCTTGGCATGGCCCTAACCAATCACAGGTTGGCAGGGGCATCACGTGAGCCTCATCTGATTGGTCAATCCCTCAATTTTTTTCCACCAAGGGAAGCCAGATTCGGCTGGCCTCCTCTCGCAACAGTGAGTGCAATCTACTGTTTCACCATAACATCTAGAGGGGCGCTGTTTGTTTCACTCTTTGTAAAATACTCAATGAGAATGGGGGAGAGACGGGCCGGCAGCAACACACAGCAAAGGAGAATTATCGAAACAAAAAAAAGTGTTTTTATTTATTTAAATTATAACTACAATCCGAAAAAACAGGGGAAGCCTGGCTTCCCTTGGCCTCCAGGAGAAAACGCCACTGTGCTGACAGCCCCGCTCCTGCCGCCCGCTTGTGGCAGACCACACTTCCACGCTCACCGGCAGGCACCGACTGGCTATTGGGAGGACCGGGAGGGTGTGTGTATGTGTGGCCCGAGCGAGTGAGAGAGAGACCTTACGTGCATTGTTGTTAGCATCTGGTGCTAGCTAGCTGCGCTTACGGATATGGAGCTGTTTAAATGAAAACAGAGGAGCGACATTTCGCCACAACTGCGCCGAGCACTTGACTTTATGCAGGCAGCCAGACAGTGGGACATTGTACGAGAAGTCAGCACACTCAGCACGGATAGTGCGCAACATGATTGCAGCGTCCAGGCAGCTCCCGTTCGAGCATATGCCTTGAGTTGCACATAGCTCCAACGATCCATCACACACACACACACACACACACACACACACACACACACACACACACACACACACACACACACACACACACACACACACACACACACACACACACACACACACACACACACACACACACACACACACACACACACACACACACACACACACCCATTTGTATTGTATTATTGTATGAGAGAGGTTCCAGGTTGAATTGAGGCGAATATTTGTAATGTTCAGAGGTTGTTGTGTTTAATATTCATGAGAATATTTGTCATTGTTCAAATGATAATAAACATTAGCATAAAGCATATTTGTCCACTCATATGTTGATAAGAGTATTAAAAACTTGAAAAATATTCCTCTAAGGTACATTTAGAACAGATCAAAAATGTGCGATTAATTTGCGATTAATCGCGATTAACTATGGACAATCATGCGATTAATCGCGATTAAATATTTTAAACGACTGACAGCCCTAGTAAAAACAAAAAAGAGTGGTGAAATGAACATAATCTGAAGTCAGCTATCATCTTCGTTCCAACCATCTATAAGCATGTTCTTGATTCATCTCAGCTGTCATCTGGTGCTTGTTTAAATTCTTGATGCACTCAACGTTTGTCTGGAACTCATTTCGGGGTATTCCACACTTTTCCAAGGATGGACGCACTTCAAAGTCAAAGTCGGCACACCTGCTTTTAAAGATTTGTTCTTTCACTGTACAGCAGTCAAAGCTTCTTGACACAGCTTTGGGATACGAAATGTGGCGCAAATAATAAAAGCCTGATCCATGCTTCCACAAAGGTAAAATCCAATCAGTTGTCGAAAGACAAACTTCTACTAAACTACTAACAATGTCAACCAGATGTTTCATTGTTCATTGCTTTCCAGAAACCCATCTTACCTTGAACTTGGTAAAGTCCGTTTTGCCTGTGTTGCTGTTCCTCAGCAAGTAATTGGGCGTAGTCCAAAAAGACGAGGCTGTACCTCTCTCCTCTCTGTATTTGTACCACACGTTTTTCATTCAACCTGTGACTCATGATGACACCAAAGCTTCCCTTGGCCAATGAGATTCTCTCAGGATCACAGGTCATAATCCCATGTTAGTATATAATGTGCTAAACCAAGACCTGGCCCACTTACAAACAGGCTAATACAAGCCTAAGTGTACTTTGTTTGTTGGCTTCACAACCCGTCCTCTTTTTATTGGCCCTTGGTGTCCTTTGTCAATCTTTTGTCCAGGGTCCAAAGTGCGATCGGATTCAGGATTCATTCATCTGCAAATCTATGCAAATTGTAAAGTCTGACCTTGTTTGCAGTCAACAGAGATTTTAGAATGTACACAAAGTCAACAAATAGAGCTCATTATAATTGTGGTGCAGAGAGGATTGTCTCCGAATGCCAGCGAGATGCCAATTAGACCAAGACCCTAAGCACATGATCACCATCATTCACCTGGAAGGATGAGGCCTTACTTTGATACATTTTGGGTCAGATTTGGTGTAAATGTTTAAATGGACCTCACTTGTGTCAAAAAGATGGATCTTTTTATACTGAATATCATTTGAATGCAACAGCATTTTGAATTGTCATGGGGTTCAATTGAGTCAAACCTTCTTTTTTCGTAACAAGTGGGGCATCATACATATTTGGCTGTTGTAAATGCTGTAAATTGTTTTGATGAATACCTTAGTTTACATTGAAAGAGAGGGAATCCATACTGCTAAAGCGTTAAGATGAAAGACTGCTTCAGTACAAAACATTGTCTTCAGACATGTAAGGTGATGGTTTAATAAGAGGGAGGTCAGGCATAATCTTGGGGATTTCACTGCACACTGACCTGGCAAATTGTTTATGTAGAAACTAGCCAGCGTAAGGATGGGTGACCTTTAAACACGCTCACATGAGATCGTGCTGATTCCAAGGGATGACGCCGGTAAAGGCTTGAATGTAGATAATCACAGTTGAGTTGTGTGAGGATAGGGGCAACACTTATCCATGATCAGCCATGCAATCCCATCAGAGCTCCTCCTCTGTTTGCCAAGGTGCGTCTATGAACGGTGATTGCCCTCCGCACATTAAGAGAAACTGTACTTTGATGACACATTCCTATTAAGATGAATGGAAACTTTACTGTACTAAATATCTTGGCTGTGTAGGACATTACACCTCACTTCCTTGCATGCCATTCTCTATTTCTTTATCTTTTAATCACAGCATGTGTAGTTATTTAGAGATATCCATAATCATTTTTGAACATCCCAATCATTGAAAATTGTCATTATGGGCTTTATGTATCTCATCTTAAATAAATATATATTACTATGAATACATCTTGACTACAATCTGCCTGGTAGACTGAGAAGTAACACATGCAGAGGAATATGATAATGCTGATTTCCTGCAAGGGGCTTTGTGTCCGAGCCAGCTATGTTTTGCAGGATCGGTTTCATTTGAAGGCTCTACTTAAATCCACATGACTTTGAAACATTTGGAAAAGTTCACATGGCTTTCTGCCTATAAAGCTGAGAAAGTAACTGTGTTTATGGATAATTATAATGCGGAAAATAACTGGTTTGGCTGTGAAATTTACTTTCCAAGATATGTGTTATGTATACACTTGAGCCATAGTTTAGCAAATTGATTGATTACAATTGTGTCTATCAATCTATCTATGTCCGGACATTAAGCATTGTAATTCATAAACTAGACCAAATTAAAGAAAAACGGCATGTAACAACGTGCCCATAAACACTTTCAAACACTTTTTTAATTTCCAAGGTTCCTTCACCCCTTTTACATTTAAACTGCAAGTACTGGAACAGATGCTAGCAAGGTGCAGCACATCAAAAGATGAAGATAATTCAGATAAAAAACATTTGAAAACGGCACTGCCCAAGCCTGTGCTCCTCCTCTCTTAAACAGATGTATTACTGAAGAAAGATACATTACATTACATTACATTACATTGCATTTAGCTGACGCTTTTATCCAAAGCGACTTACAATAAGTACATTCGACCAGGAAGACACAACCTTGAAGAAAACAGAATCATATAAGTACATCAGGTTTCAAGTTTACCTGCTCCCCGAACAGGTGTGAGAGGTCTGCATTCAGTCAGGTGCTGTTTGGTTCTTGTTGTTTTTCCAATGAACTCTGATGAGTGTCCCCTGTTACACTTGTATTGTTGTAAGTTGAATTCCCCAAAGGCTGCACCTTGGACACCAGTTGAACCAAGAGGATGGAGCATGTGTTGTCTGTGGGAGGACAATTGTGGGAGAGTTGGGATGTCCTTTCAGAAATGGTGTTATCTACTTTTCTGCCAGCCCAGCAGTTTTTTCCGCCTCTTTTTTTTTTATCCCCTTGTTTTTTATAAAATGTGAATTCATCAGTGTGGCGTGGCGTTAAGTGTGAAACTGCTGTCACTCCACCCAACTTAACCATTTGGTCCATTTGGGTGCACGACCATTTCATGGCTCATTTCAGCTGACAGGCCATTCGTTGTGTTTTGTAGGCTGTCAGGTGAATTTACAGAGGGCTTTTTCATTCAGACATTCACACCAGGTGGATTATGTTTTTCTTTATTTCTTTTTCAAACAGATGTCTTCTTTTTGCAGTTTTTCCCATCATGCCTACAAGGGATAATATATGATTGACTGTCACTGTAGAGAATTTGAACACCTGGTCAATGCCAGAAACAGCTCCGAAATACAACACTGTCTAGTGCGGTAGAGCAGGAGCCCCAGATCACTATCAAAGATAGGCAATACTAAAGTTCTACTTTATTCATTTTATATTGGCTCATCCATCAAATATCATGGACATGTGTAATTCCAGTAAACGTGGAGCCTTTAACCTATTTAGATAATTCAGCTCCTTATGGGTTAAGGTTAGGTTTGGAATAGGGGTTAGAATAAAAAAAACAACCTCCCCAATGGTGAGTGCAAGAGTCATGAAATGTGGCGTATCTGATGGTCTCCTCCTTCCTGTCATGTGTACCCAGTTTGTCGCCTCTAGCTTTTTCCTTTGATGTAGCAGTCATTGAAACCCATTCTTGCAAAAAGGTATGATCCTCATATAACAGCGGAACGGTAAGTGGTACAATCAACACATTTGATTTGCGTGCATGTGTCTCCCCCCTGCTTGTGTGTACCAAGTTTGGAGTTTCTGACTCTTTCTTTTTATGTAGTGGTCATTGACCCTCCAGGGTTAGGGTTAGGGTTGCTTCAATCTTTTGCTTCGCTGCTGACTCCCCTCCTTCTATCTGTCACTGTTCTCCAGCAGTGTGTATACACATCTGTCTAAACTTTAAGGGAAAAGGAGGAGAATGTACAAGAGATAGGGGGATAGCAAACAGCAATTCTGAAATGTCTGACTTGAGACTCTAAAGACAAGTTAGAGACAAGGAATAATAATAACAACAGCGGTAAAAAGAGAGAACAGCTGGAGGTGGTCTGGACTAAAGGAGGGTCTTTGGAATTTGGCTGCCAGTCTTCAACAGCTGATTATACTTTCACTTATCGTCAAGCAGGAGGATGTGAGGTTTAAGGTTTTATAAAAGAACTTTATTGTCTAGACACAGACAGCAGGAGCTGCACTCATGATTTAAATAAGGGTAACACAGGAGGAAGAGGAGGAAATTGTCCTAGATTGGGGATCGGTACGAATGACCATATTAAAACAGGGGAAATGTGAAAGCTGCTAAAACAAACATGTAGCATGTTGTAATGGTAGTGGTTGTGAGTAGACTGATAATATTTGTACCTCCCAGGATGTATTAAATGGCATAATTATGTATTTAAATGACCACTCGGCACCTTAAGACAGACGACTTTCATTTACACAAGCGAGTCAAAATAAAATTAAACTCAACCCTACAGCTGGATCTAATTACAAACACCTAGCAGTAGCCTAAATCAAATGGGACATCTGGAAGCCGTTTACATAATATGTAAATGCCAGGAATCTAATCAACTAACCATCTTAAATAGTGTCTGCTCTAGTAAGGAACTCTTGACTAAGACTTTTAGAAGAAACTAGTGGTGTCAGCACATGTGGTCAACATCAATTAGTGGTAATTGTTACAGTTGGTACACAGTTTTGGAAGGGCACAATCTATACTTTAAATTAAGTGGTTTATGTCAAAAAATACATCCTAAGAAATTGACTATTAAATAGTCAGTTTAACGTCTTGTCTTTCAATACTGTAGAATAAAAATGTTATTTAAATCTTATAATTACAGAAGTACAAAACTAGGAGAATAGTCTGCAGTTGCTCCCAGACTTTTTGGACACTGATACTGTTTGGAAGACATCAACTAATAATGAATAGCAGACATTTTAGGCTTTGACATAATCCAGAGTCTTTTTCTGATGATCTCACAATAACAATCCACAGCAAGAATTGACAACTTTATGAAGTTATAAATATTTTCATAATACAGACCACCACATTTGTTAATGTGCTCCTAAAAATAATAATTGATTTGTGCCAAAGAATAATCCAAGATTAATTTCATTGAAATAACAAAACTCATAACTGTGGTTATGTGCTAAACCCTGCAACCCCTGCATCCCTCCAGGACCAGCTGTTTTTTTGTTTCATTCCTCAGCTTTGAAATGGGGGACAGATCATAGGTTCTCTCTGTAACTACAGTAAATGAATGACTTGAGAAATACAAGGTAAAATATGGGCAAACAGGGGAAAACCACAAGGTATGACTCCTTGAAAACAGGCCAGAAAGGAAGATGGTAGCTGCCAAAAAAAGCACACTTTACAGGATAAGAAGTAATGTGGAAATAATCATGCCCAGTAGTAATGGACGTATTCTCCATTAACTTATTGTTTTGTTTGTTGGCTGCTTTCACTTGGCTTCAGCTTGTTCTTAAAAGCAGACTGTGAGATAGGTTTTATAATGTAACTGGCTACTACATGTTTAACCATTGAAGAGCAATACGATTATTATGCAAGGTTTGGGTACAGCAAATTCACTGTGTGGTCAGTGACATTAATGAAAAGAATACTAGCATTTGGTTAATTCAGACAACTTTTAATAAAACATACCTTATAAAGCCTGCATAACTAATAGTTTTATTAAATTAGCAAAATATATATGTTTCTTTTATAATCTGGTCACACCTAAATAGTGGCTATTTTGGATTTATATATAATTAATGTTTGCTTTACCAACAATTAATAAACCATTATTCAAAAAACATTCACTATTGTTAGAAGTATATTTTGAGTACATTTAGATAAGCAAATAAATTAAATGTGCAGGGCAATCCTTAATGTTAATTATGTTTATGCTCAATCAAATGAGATGACTTCACAAATTTGTTTCCATACATGCTCAAAGTTTATTCATCATACAAATATGCTGGAAACATAGTTGATTGAACTCTGTTTGGTTTCCTCAAAGCAAATCCAAGAGCAGTTACCAAGTCAAAGGCAACACAAAAATCACGTTAAAAAAAACATTATTCTAATAACATCAACCCAAATGACACTGCTGCCAAGTTGTATTGATAAGAAGCAGTTTTTAAACATGGTGAACAACAACATAACAATGAGAGCGCCTTAACTGCAAAAGCTGAAGTTTATTATAAAAGAATGGTACCATTGGTTGCATGCAGGTAATGCAAATGTATACAAATCAGCAATGCACATAAAAGTAGACAGCTAGAAATGAGTTCACGTTAAGAAACATTTGACTTATGATTTCCAGAAAAACCTCCTACAGTATCACCTCAAGGTTGAACTGAGTAAGTAGTTTCAAGGTTAGTACCAATGTTTTTTAAGCATGTCTCCTTCATTCTTCTCTTCTTCTCTTGGGCATTAAGGAGGTTTATTGGTTGGGTTTAATTATCGATTTGTTTTATTTTATAGCTCAAAGAAGTCAATCATTCAGAAAACATGGTATTTCAGCCAATGCACCATTTATGAAGAAGGCAGACACGACTAACAAACACTGGTATTTTTCTTAAAACCAATTTGATCAATTTAAGTTGTTTACAAATGATATGTCTATGTAACTACTCTTTATATTTGCTCATAATTTCTTACATCAGGCATTATACATTGGAATCTGAGAACGCAGTCCTTTATTTACTGGTCCTTTGCACAGCAATGGATTCATTATTGTACCCACATTGTATTATACATGCTTAACATTGGAACACACAAGACAGACAACAAAATCACGATTGACGACTGAATTGAGACATTGGAGCCATTTTTCACTCCATTCGGTCTGTATTCAATATCACCAAATTCAAGTTTGGAATGTGTGTGTTTATTATCAAAGTAAATGAATACATTTTTATTCATAAAACTTTTGGTCCATTAATTATTACATTTGTTTGTATTTTGTATACCGTCATGTTCATTAGATCACTGAGATCACACATCGTACCTTGAGCCAAATATCCCAAATTCTTGTACGATGTTTGATGAATCCAAACGTTTTATTGCATGTTTGGATTGCATGAGATATGTTGCGAAATTGTTGATAGCTTGTATTGCCATATATTGTATCTCAAATGTGCCCAGCTCTTGATTAATTCCAGATATGAATTAATATGATGAAGAGGACATTACAGATATTACATCATTTTAATCCAGAAGCCTTTGGACTGATCTGTGTCATCGTAGTGGAGAGGGGGTCATGGAGAGGGCATATATTTGAGGGAGGTCCTTATTCAAATATGACATCTGAGGCCACGCGCAGGCAGTTGGAGGATTCAGGGGGCATGCTGCTGTGAGTGACCATGTTACCGTCCAGACGCAGATGCTTCAGGTGGGAAAAGCTTGTAGTCGAAACATACTTGCAAAGACTTGTCAGCTCAAATTCTGCAAAAAATGGAGAGAAGGTTGTGGATGTTGGCAGAAAAACAAATGACTCAAAAGTTATTATATACCATCAAAACCTCTTATACGAGGCTTCAAAAGGTACACTTTGGCAATAACGCCCAAAGAATCATAGCAATATGCCTGCAAAGAAAGCAAATAGGACGACCATACATGGTTTTAAACAGTTCACAATTTCAAATATTCCAAATAGTAGACTTTACATATTTTATGATGAGGAAACCTTTTGTGAGGCATTCTAAATGTAGACATAACATGAAGAGAGATCCACAAAGCACCTTTAGAAAAATAGTCAAACAAGAGTAAAGAGTTT